TTACTATTAATCTAGTCTATTGCTGAGATGTACATGTTTTATAGAGAGCAACTTACTTTACCATTGCGGGTGCTCTTACTCTTCTCTAAGGCCCTCTTATCACATTCACTTGTATTTATAGCTAACTTGTAGTCTGTTATTGTACTCGTTCTAAGGCCATGTTTAGATCCCACTCTAAATTTTTTCACCCTGTCACATCGAACATTTAAACACCTGCATGAAGTATTAATTATAGGCTAAAAAATAATTGCACGTATTGCGACTAATTTGTGAGACGGATCTTTTAAACCTAATTGCTCCATCATTTGATAATATGGTGCTACAGTAAACATTTGCTAATGACAGATTAATTAGACTTAATAAATTCGTCTCGCGGTTTACTGACGGATTATATATAATTAGTTTTTTTATTAGTGTCCGAACACCCCATACGATACGCTATATAATATCTAATATGACACGTTAAAACTTTTACACCTGATCTAAACACCCCCTAAATCACCTCACCTATGTACCACTGTACTATCCACCGCTCCCATGTCGGCATTCCGTTCTTTCAGCTGCGATTTCCTCTCTCTTTTTTTGTTATCTTCTCCGTGGGTTTCTCCGCTCTTCTCACATGGATCTTTGACCGGGGAAAAGTGATGGATGGATGCTGTGCATTTTGTTTGGTCACTTGTCCATTCAGGTTTTGTTTGGATCTAGTCTTAGATCGTGGAGATCATCCAGTGGCAGTACTAGTACTTTGTTACTGTATGTATTATTCAGGATGGATTGCACATTTGATTAGTATTTGCATGGGCAGAAGGAATCAGGCAACAGTTTAAGAACACAGGATGCAATCACATTTGGCAAAGGCTTTTTAGCTGAAGATTGGATACTCCTCTCAATCTGTCGCCTCAAACAAGCAGCAATGTATGCATCGCACGTGAGGTCAATGGGAGGGGAGATTGATGTCACGTGGCAAGCCAGAAAAGAATGGGCATGTTCACTTTGATTTCATTTTCAACCTTACCAAATTTTAGGAAAGTTGCTAAAAAAAGTGACTACATTTAGTTTGCTGTCAAATTTTAGTAACTATATAAGAAATTTTGGCAAACTATGTTAAAATTTTGGTAATGCCAAAATTTAGTAAGGTTTTTTTTTTGCAACAAAGTGAACAGGCCCAAAGAAAACGTCTTCGTACATTTCGCTTGGTCGACATGGCGAGCACAGGAGCGAAACTTCAGTAAATTCATTATCCATCATAGCACAAGTATCAATAAAAAAAATAACTAAAATAACTTTTTTTATCAAATTCCAGTGTAGATATTACTTATTTTTTCTACTTTTAATGTACTTGTTTCATACTGCCACAAACTTCAATATAATAATTATTTAAAAATAAATTTACTTTAGAACAAATCAGAGAAGAAAAATGGTGTTATTTTAGGACCAAGTATGTCCGATGTGGTTAGGCAGCTGTGACACATACGGATGTTTCTAGCTGCAACCATGACTGTATTTAATTGGACCAGTGGCTCAGTACTCCTCCCATACCTGCCACACCAGACATTTCCGCACCTAATTTGCTTTTGGTTACTAGGGCTACATTTGCTGCAACCTTTTCTTCAATCTTGTCTCTTTGCTTGCCTTGCGTACTTGGCTAGTAGTTGGTCGTCTTCTGTTTTTTTATGGGAGAAAAGAGGCCCATGAATGTTCTTGGATCACGATAGGCCGTTCTAAGTCTACAAGCCTGGTAGTGAGGCTGGTAGGCCCAATAAATTCGGCCCATTGAATGGCCCAATCCTGACATGAAGGCGAGAATCAGTGGGCTCCGTGTGCAGGTAATCAGATTCTGGAAGTGAGCCTCACCATCAAAGGCCGTGTGTCTGTGGCCCTTTTAAGCTGTTGCTGGTTTGCGACGGGAAAAAGTCCACTTAGACTCCCTTAATTGTTCACCGAATCTAATTCATGAGCCTTAACTGAAAAAACGGGTAGAACGACTCCCCGAATTATAGAAACGAGTGTATTTTCACTCCTCCAGAGGTTTTGGAGGGCGGTTTTTACTGACGTGGTGGTGCTAACCCGATTTTTATTACACATGGCGCTTATGTGGCATTAGAATTTAAAAAATATCCGTGGGACCCATATGTCATTCAAACACAAAATATATTGTGGGACCTACCAACATGTGGGGCCCACATGTAATCCTTTCTCCTTCCTTTCTTCCTCCTCCCTTCCTCCTCCCTTCTCTCTCTTTTCTCTCCCCCTTTTTTCTTCCCCCTTCGAATGAGCAGCAGCAGCAGGTTCAGCCCACCACCACCCACCACATTACCCGCAATGTCTCCTGCCGCGCCCGCCCCAGCGAGCTCCTCGCCATCGTCGACCCCAGCGGCGCCGCCAAAGTCCACCCTTCTCAAGATCCTCACCGGCCGCCTCCACCCCTCCCCGCCTCCCGACCTGCTCCTCCTCAACGGCGTCCCCGCCACCACCGCCAACCACCGCCCCCGTCACCCGGCGCGACGTCCTCTTCCCGCTCCTCACCATCCGCGACACGCTCTGCTTCAGCTCCAGCACCCGCCTCTCCCCCAAGCACATCGACGCCTGCGTCGACACTGGAGCTGACATGGGTGGAGGCGGAGGAGAAAGAGGCGCACTCGCCTCGACACCGTGCCGCCTCGGCGTCGTCCGCCGTGCACCGCCGCTCGGTCGTGCCGCCCCTTCCGCCGCCGCTGCACGCAGTCGTGTGCCGTCGTCGGCCTTTCTCTCTCAAATCCCGTCGCCGTCGCCCTTCCCGTGTCCCTAGCGACTGCCCCGAGTCGCCGCCCTAGCCGCTCGTGCCTTCTTCCCCCCTTTCACCGCACCGCTTCTTCCGCCGCGCTACCGTCGCCGGTGACTCTCGGTCTTCACGCCGTCGTGTGTGCGTCGCAGTGGTGGAGTGGCTCGACCAAACCAACCGTGCGAGCCGCGTATCGCTCCTTGCGCGCAGCCATGTCGGCACTCCGGCGAGCTTCGCCGCCGCCGCCGGTCGCCATCGTGTCTCCTCTCCCCAATCCAAGCCGGTGAATGGATTGCCCATCTTCTCCTCTACCCTCCAGTGCTAGCACTTTCCCCCGGATCGCCGCCGTGAGCCGTCCGATCCGGCGCCCCCTCCTTCTCTCCTCTCGTCTTGCCACCGTGGCTGCCCACGTGGCGTTGACCGACCCTGCCCATGTCCAGTCAGCCGGTCAGCCCTCCTCTCTCTCTCTCTCCCGTGCTTGTGGGCTCTCCACGTAAGCGGCACGTCGACGACACATGGGACGAAAACCGGGTCAACACCACCACGTAACTGTCACGTCAGCCAAAACCGCTTGCAAAATCACCCAGTAAGTTAAATTACACCTGTTTTAATAGTTTAAGGAATCATCTTATCTGGTTTTCTGGTTAAGGGTACAAATTAGATTCGCTCGATATTTAAGGGAGTCAATTGGACTTTTTTCCTTTGCGACGCTGCTAGGCCCGTAAGGCTATACGACATCAAAAGTTACAGTACGCATTGCGCTTTAGGACTTTCTTTCTTCATCTTAAAAATCGAATTATTGACATATATTATATGTTTCATGCTTCGAAACATATATTTTCTTAAAGAAAATTTTTCTACTACATTACTACATTAACTATCACTATTGCCTCTTTCTCCTAGTAGTTGTAAGTAGTAGTGCTAGTTATTTTTGGCTATTATCTAAAAAAAAGTTATTTTTGGCTGCCCTGGCGGCCTGTTTTTTCTTTCCTGTTTTGTTCCAGAACATGAACAATGTTAGTTAGATCATGTTTTGTCACTTGAAAGCTTCCGATAGCTGGAGTTATATATTACTTCCTCCATTTCACAATGTAAAACTTTGAAGCATTGCTTATATTAATATAGATATTAATGAATCTAGATATATATAGTGTTTAGATTCATTAATATCTATATGAATATGGACAATGCTAGAAAATCTTACATTATGAAATGAAGGGAGTATATCAGAAGCTTTTCAAATATAACTAGTGTCTACATACCCACAAATCCATTGGTCATACTCGTGACAAAATGCAGAATGCAATCTTTTATTGATCGGTGGAGCTGAAGAAGCAAAGCAAACACCTTGTGACGAGTTAGATGGGATCAAATTGCACACGGACCGCACCGGGTACTTCGGGTACTTCTATAGTTAGGACTTGTTCTTTCCTCCAATAAAAGTTGGACAAAAATTTAGATATCCGTGACACGTTTCATGTGAAACTTTCTATATAAAAATTACTCTAAAATATCAGATAAATATAATATCAGATAAATATATGTTTTAAGTTTGTAATAGATAAAACTCAATTAACCCTATGTTAATAGCATATCGTTTTATGTAAAATACTTAATCTCCATCTGCATGAGTTTCAAAAACCACCTTAGTCCAATGTAGCAGCAGCAGCTCGCGCACACGTGCACGCGCCAATTCGAGTGGCGAGTACTGCGCATTTGACCGTCCAAAAGCGTCCGCTAGCTTGATCCACGCACAACAGTCACGTTACAAAAGGGGTGGCACTCGTAGACTGGACAGTGCAAGTGTGGACCAGACCGTGTGGTGGCAATGGCATATTGGCATCTGCAACGGGCAAGACGGCGAGGCAAACGGCTACCTCCACTCAACTCGCCTCCTCGCCTTCCCCATCGCATCGGATCCACCAAATCCTTCTCGGTTTGACCCAGCACGCGCATCCGGTCCAAGTCCAACCAACTGGCTGCGCAGCCTGCAACGCAGCAACGTCCATTTCTCTCTTTTTTTCTCATAAATCCCCTTAATTTTTCCCCTTTCTCCAAAGGCGCCAAATTTTGCAGAAAAATCCAAACCCCGGCTCAATCCCCAAATTTCGTCGTCATATCCCCCGGCGAAAAAGACCAATGCGCACGCGGGAATGGGAGTACACTCCTACTGCGCCACCAAACTCGCCTCGCACACGCGCGGGCCCACATGTCATTCACCGATTCACGAGTCCAAAACTACCGCGGTAAAAGGAGGGAGAGATTTTTTTTCAAGACTAAAATCGCCCCAATTCTGGGATACATCACCAATTTTTCACAAACATCTCGATATGTATCGAATTACATAGGAAACCATGTGTCGAAACCATGGGAACATTTCCTCTAAGCTAATAGTGTAGTAATAATCTCACAATTTTTGATGCTGTAGTTTAATCATGAGTACACAGTTTAATCTCTCTATAGTGAAGAAGAGTTAGGGCGTGGAGGAGGAGACAGGTGGGGTACAGTTCATGAGATGGCGATGGCCGTCGACCGCCGCGCCGGCGCCGCCACCGGCGAGGGCGGGAGCCGGGAGGAGAAGTTCTTGTACCGGAAGGCCGCGGCGGCGTCGTCTGCGGCGTCGTCGTCGCCGTCGCCATCGTCGAAGTTGAGCGCGTAGCTGAGCGGGTCGTACCCGAACTCCCCCGCGGCCACCCGCCGCCTCCACCTCAGCTTCTCCCCGCTCCGCCGCTCCCCCGGCGAGCCGAAGCAGCAGCACACCGTCGTCCTCAGTCTGTGCCTTAGCGACGACGGCGACGTCGGCGGCGATGCCTCCATCGAGCTAGCTCTCGCCGTAGTAGTGGATTGGGATCACTGGTGATTTTTTGAGATGAATTTTCCGATGATGAGATGGTGGTTTTGGTTTGGGTGGAGAGACGAAGGGTGCGGCTAAATAGGGACGGGCCTCTGACGGCGTGAACTGGGAAGTGACGGCGGCTAGCTACTACTCCCTCCGTCTCCGTCCCAAAATAAGTGCAGTTTTACACTATTCACGTTTAACATTTGACCGTTCATCTTATTTGAAAATTTTTTATGATTAATATTTTTATTGCTATTAAATGATAAAACATGAATAGTACTTTATACGTGACTAAATATTTTCAAATTTTTCATAAATGTTTTAAATAAGACGGATGGTCAAATGTTGGACACAGATATCTACGGCTACACTTGGTTTGAGACGGAGGTAGTACGGAGTACGCGGTGGGGGAAGCGCCGTTACGCGTGCAGTTAGACGTGGGGGCCGTTTGGGGATTTTGCTTAGCGTAGGCGGGTTGCGGATGACGACGTGGGGCCCACGGCTCAGCGGGACCAGCAACGGATCGATGATGATTGATGATAACGGTCGGTCGTGCAGGCAGCCTGTCGCGGATGACAGGTCAGGGCTAATACGATCATTATGCTGTTGCAGATTAGCATGAGCACATATGTGATGAACTATTAGGGCACCCAGAATTGTTATCTATAGACTCTCTACAATATATCTATGTCAGCATATTTTCTTAATTGGAAAAGATTAAATGAAGAGGGAGAGCAACGCTATCTACTAATCTTTAGATAGTCTATAGAGAAAAACGAGGCAATGGATTAGAGAGCTATAGATATACATGTAAACATACCATTGAAGTGGTTTACTATTAATCTAGTCTATTGCTGAGATATACATGTTTTATAGATAGCACATTATTTTACTGTTGCCGGTGCTCTTAGCGATTCTACAAATCTGTAAATACAATGAACTGATTGTGAAAATTCAGGCTACTTCTAAGATGTGAAGAAGATTGTACTGGCCTACTGCTATTAATTACTCTCTCCATTTCAAAAGAAATTAATCTAAGATGAGCCACATTTTTATATAGGTTGATTTTGATTTTTTTTGGAACGAAACAAGTAAACTTATTTTTTCCATTGGCAGTCACACCAGTTTGCAATCTTGGTCTCCTCCTGGGCTACGCAATCGCGTCAAACGTATTAGACTCCGTACCACCTTAATTAAGACCCCTTCCCCAAATAGGAGTATAATAATACCCCAACTAATCATCGCCATATCTCCGTGCAAAACCGGATAAGAATTCCACACAGCCGAAAGAGCAAAATAAGCTCACATGGCGGCCGATGGCGTGCGTTCGTCCAGCTCCTCCAAAGACCCACAGATACGCATAGAACGCGATAGCCGACTGATTAAGATTCTCTTCAGTCAAATGAACAAATGCACAGTAACTTTGTCATATGAACTTAAATATTATCGGGTTTATATATCAATAATAAAGTCACGTGACTTCGATTACAGAGGATCCTCGTCCTAAGCGACACCCCGAAAGCGGCCCCCTCCGCCCGGGCCGCGTTAAGGCGAAAAAAAAGCAAGCAAAAAAGAGATTAGAAAAACGTTTATGAACGCGAGGCGAACCCGATGCTAGCCCGAAGATATCGGCGGGCGGCGGCAGCACGGGCGGACGAGAAGGCGAGGGGATCAAAGGGGAAAAGCCTGGATAGCCTCTCCACGTCTGCTTTTCGCGACGGCGACCGCCGCCAGCTCGAGTGGTAGCTAGTGGTCGGCTCGGACGAAAGGATCGGAATCAGCTGCTGCTTTGTTGGCTGTTTGCTCGTCAAGTGGCCTCGCTGAGGTGCGGGGTGCAGTGGATCGGAGTGGATAGGGCGAAATGTCCTGCGGTTACTGTCGGTTTTGGTTCCCGCGATGCAGGGATGCAGGCTGTTTCGAGCGCACGTAGCACACCGGATTTGTATGGCTGCAACGGATGGTCTTTGGATTAGGTAGAGGGAAAAAAGCAAACCGAGTCCCTTTGTAGTGTTTTGTGTAATTAAATTTCTCGATCGATATGTTCATGATTGTAACATTGTTGACGAGTAATCCAATAGAGCTCGTTTATATGCTTATATGTTAAATTTTATAAATTTTAATTTTATAGTTGATTTTGTGGATTTTTATTATGGTTTATTTTACAATAATCGCTAATAACATGTATATACTAATTTTACTAAATTAATTTTAACTTACTAATAAACGGTGGTTTATATAAGCATAAATATAAGGGAAACAATAAAGCCGATATTTTTATTTGGGTGCAGCCGTGGAGGCATCTTTGATAATCGGACCGATGAATGGCCAAATGAACAATTGAAGATACCTCTGAGAACGACCAAATAGGTTATGATCCCGTCAGCTCTCCATGAAATGAGAGCTCTGACTGCAGAGTCTTAACGAAAATAATAATGCTACTAATTCGCAGATGGAGTAAAGCCTGACGCCTAAGGGGGAGTTTGGATGGGTTAATCCGTCACATCGGATGTTTAATATTAATTATAAGTATTAAACGTAAACTAATGATAAAATCTATTTTATAACCCTAGACTAATTCGCAAAATAAATCTATTGAGCCTAATTAATTCATGATTAGCCTATGTGATGCTACAGTAAACATTCTCTAATTATAGATTATTTAGACTTAAAACATTTGTCTCGTGGATTAGCTCTTATTTATTATGCAATTAGTTTTGTAAGTAGTTTATGTTTAATACTGTAAATTAGTGTCCAAACATTCAATGTGACATAGACTAAAGTTTGGTCCCTGAATCAAAACACCCCTCTAAGATAGTGTCATAGTGCACTAGTGCTACATGACCGAATTATCTACTACGAAGTACAAGCGAGAGATAAGGATCAGATTCACAATCAATCACTTTTCTCCTGCGAGATAAGCTACTATAAGTTGCGCCACATCTCGATGCCAAAACGAACGGTGGATGATGTCGTAGCCACGCATGCTATATGAATGGATAGATATATACCTTCCCTTCCTCCCGCAGGAAAGAACTAGCATCACTGGTTCACTGTCTCACTCATCAAAAGCTTAATTATGTAACACTCAAAAGTGCCCATTCGAGAAATACACGTAATCAAACGATTTGTTTAACCTGACGATTTTCTCCTTGACCCATGAGGACATGAGTCACGTCGCACCATTAAGCTCCAAAAAATATGAGACAAAATTGCTGACAGGATCACAGGATTGGGTTCAGTCTCGATTTGCCGATCGAACCCTTGGAAGCTGTGGGCTAATCACAGGTGCATGTGGCACACAGTAAATTGCACTAAAACAGAGGGCTAACTTGTCACGTATCGCAACTTGCAACGTACAGTACCCTTTTGTCGGAAAAAGTTAACCTAAATTTAGATGCGATGTAAACTAATACAATAATCTAAATATATATTTTTTTAAATTCATTGTACTCTACTGTGTCATAACAAATTCTAGTTTATTTGTTTTTCCTTTTTGCGCAGGAAGTAAGTTCTCAGAGCAAGTTTAACAGATGAACTCACTATCACTTATCAGTCTATCTTAGAGGGGCGAATGCCTTTTTCTCGTGAAAGGGAGATGCCTAATCGTATCGGTTACTGTGTGATAGTCTGACAACCATATGGCGTCCCATGAGAACAAGGATAAATCAGCTATAAACTTATCTTAAAAAAGAGAAAAAATGCGTTAGCTCTCGTATAGTAAGAGTTAACTCTATACGTGTTTTAAGATAAACACATTGAATGTATAAGTAAGAGAAATAGTGAAGAGAAGAAAATTTAAAGGTAACTTAATCTATTATATATATATATATAGTAAATTTGTTTGGTGCTCCATGGTGCCCGGGCACCATTGTTGAAATTGAGTATATACCTAATTCAAATGCAATTAAAACTTTTTCAATTACTTAGGTATTAACATTAACTACTTTACTAACAAGTTTAAAGCAAGTTTGAACTGAATTTGAACTTGTTTTTGTTAGATGTTGATTCTAGGTATATAGCATCCATACATATAATTAGTTAGGTATGTAATCATGGATTGTGAAATAAAGTTAAATTTGAGTTGTTTTGTTGATAAGTATAGGTATGAATCAAATTATTATAACTAGGTATATACTCACAATTTGAAAATTTTGAAAAATTTGAGTGATTTTGTGCATTAGATACCATGGTGCCCGGGCACCATGGTGCCCCATATGAGTGTCCTATATATATATATATATATATATATATATATATATATATATATATATATATATATATATACAGTGACTGGAAAGTATCAACGGCCAGGCGATAATTACGATAAGTTGATGGCTGCAAGCAGTTGGCCTGCTGCCGGATTGCTTTCGATCAATGTCGCTAGACGCTGCACCTGATTAAGGGTATTCCCAACCCAATTACTATGATAGTGTCCAAAGTATTAAATAAGTTGTCACCTAGAACAAAAAAAATGATGTGGCAAGTGAATAAATGAAGAAAGAGAAGGAAACCATGTCTTATGTAAGACATGGTTTCTACACAACATTCAAGATATCATGCGAGATAATAGTGTTGTTTGCATTGAAAGAGTAGTCTCTAGTACTAGTTTCTTGATGATGTGGAGTTTATGAAAACCATGTCTAGTGTTATGGGTTGGGACTGCTCTAATGACGTGTATAGACGAAATCTCCGAAAGCAAATGTATCATGACAGTTATAAATATGAGAGTTTTCTTGCAAAATCATGTAAAGTTATAAATCCTGCGAAATTTTCCTCAACTATTAACAACTGCCATACGTTGCAACAAACTTATCATCTTCGTTTCAAAATAAACTTACAGTACTTAATAAAAATGTGACACAATCTAGTACAACGAATCTGAGCATCTCTATCCCCATACAATGTTAGCTATAACTACAAGAGGAGGACCAAGACAACGGAGAGAGATCCCATATCAAAACTTCAACTCAATATCCAGTTGAATTAGCCAGAGAAAAGCTTTCCCAAATCTTGTAACTTTGCAAATAAGAGATCCAAAGATGAACACGACAGGAGTAGAATGTTACATTTCCGAGCGATCGATCTAAACCTATATGAACCACATGTTTCATTATTTTTCTTCCAACCACGGACTCACATCTGTACACATGCTCCCTGGCTGAATCCAGAAAGGGGTTGGACATTTCTATGCTATTGGAAGTTTGGAACTCAGGCTCCGGTTGCTCGATCTCATCGTCGTGGGCAATCAACGATGTTTCTCTGTCAGACATATAGAAGAGAAAGCTCTCATTTTTGCATGCACATTTCTCAAGCGACCAGACATCATGTTTTTTTAAAAAATATAAAAAATATTTTAAAATACATCAATTTATATTAAAATTTAAAATAGTAAAATACTTCACTAATCGTATGTTACACTGTAAACTTAGCCAGGTATCGTAAGCGCGTGGTAATTGGAGTTGAGACCTGAGACGTGGCATCTGGCACGCGAATGAGTCACGTAAATTGGCCTTGTTTAGTTGGGGAAAATTTTTAGGTTTGGTTATCACATCGGATATACAGACACACATTTGAAGTATTAAATGTTGTCTAATAACAAAACAAATTACAGATTCCGCTAGAAAACCGCGAGATGAATTTATTAAGCCTAATTATTCCATCATTAGCAAATGTTTACTGTAGCATCACATTGTCAAATCATGACGCAATTAGACTTAAAAGATTCGTCTTGCAATTTACACGTAATTTGTATATTTTTTCCTACATTTAATCCTCTATGCATTTGTTCAAACGCTCGATGTTACAGCGTGAATTTTTTTATTTTGGAAACTTAAACAGGGCCATACGAGAAGGAAAAAAAAAATCCGCGACCCATCGGAGCAAAAACCACACCGGCACCGGCACCGCGCGAACGGCCGCGGCTCGCGCCACGCCGACGCTCTCCCGCCACAACCGCGGGATTCCCCCCCCCCCCCCCCCCCACCGAACTTACCTAAGCGTCGCCTCTCGTCTTTTTTCCCGTGCAACGTTGCAAGTGAAATCATCAATCGTGCGTGCGCTGCGCCCGACCATGGAGCTCGCGGTCAGAGCAGCCGCCGCGGCCTCCTGCTCCTCCGGCGCCTCGCTCCAGCTCCCGCGGGCCCGAGCCCCGCTCCGCCTCCTTGGCCACCGCCGCCTCCCCGCTCGCCGGGTGGCTGTCGAGGCCGCCGCGATCGCCGTCGAGCCGGTGAGTTTTAAGTCATTTGATGTTGCCGCCCCTTTGCCTGACAGGTGTTCGGCGTTATGCGGACCTGGCAGCAGGTCAGCTACTAGGTGGTCTGGAGCTAGTGGAAATCTCGCAGCGATTCTTTTTTTTTTCTTGCGCACTGAGGCGATTTCTTGCCTCTGCTGTAAATGGTTAGCTGTTTCTATCTCTTCTTTGCTATAAGTGCATAGGAGGCCATATATCTGCAAAGAAGCTTCGTAGAATACTGACAAGATACATTATCTGTGGATGATCAGCTGAGAAGTTACATGGACTTATGGACCTATAAGTTTTTTGAGACTTGAGACTAGTGACCACTTGGGTAAATTGGGTTTCGGGTACATGCTGATGATGACTAGCAGTAACGGGGCACCTACATATACCATGGTGGTTTTGACTTCTGCTTATTCAAGGTGCCCACGTATGCTGGGGCAGAGATGGGCTTGTCAATAATCACATTGCGTCTGAATGTCTGATGTTTCTCATTAGACCCTGCCCTGCTGTTTGTGTGTTATATCTTGGACTTTTGGAGTTCCAACCTGACAATAACGATAGCCTTTTTCGTTCTGTGTGAAACTAAAGAATTTGGCTGTAGCTTCTTTGAAGCAAAGGCTGGAATGAATTCCATTATTAAAAAAAAAACTGAAGAATTGATTGTCTCTGTGTTTTACACTTAATAGGAAAACAAAGTACCGCAGAGTAACAATTCAGAAGCCGAGGTGTTTGCATGCCCTGTTTGCTATGAGCCATTGATAAGGAAAGGCCCATCGGGCATAAACTTGTACGTACAATTTCATTTCTACATTATGTTTTGCATGTTTTGTTAGATTGGCATTTATGATATGTTCCTTTTATGCATGCTCCAGGCCATCAATTTATAGGTCTGGGTTCAAATGTTCAAAGTGCAACAAGTCATTCACCAGCAAAGATATCTTCTTGGATCTCACTGTCACTTCTGGAACAAAAGAATATAGTGAATTGAAGCCAGCTAGAACTGAGCTGTTCAGGAGCCCACTCGTCTCATTTCTTTATGAAAGAGGGTGGCGTCAAAATTTCAATCGAAGTGGATTCCCTGGACTTGACGAAGAGGTTCATTTCTAGGACATTCCCTTCGTTGTTTGATATCTCGGCGTTACTAAATAACAAAGTCTAGCCAACGTGACCTGTGGTGTAATATATTTCTGTTTCAATAAGTAAAGAAGCAATGTTAATTCACCAAGTGTTTACTATAGAACATAATCATTTCTTATGTATGTTTTTCTGATCTGTTGTTGGTTTCATCAGTTTCAAATGGCTCAAGATTATTTCCAATCAGTTGCTGGTGGTGTACTTCTTGATGTAAGCTGTGGCAGTGGCTTGTTCACAAGAAAATTTGCAAAATCTGGATCGTACTCAGCTGTGATTGCTTTGGACTTCTCCGAGAATATGCTTTGCCAGTGTTATGAATTTATTCAGCAAGATGATACTCTTGTAAACACGTGAGCTCTCTTCTTCATGTCTCTGAATTTCGTTAATATCCTTTCTGCTTTTCGTGTGAGTACAAAAAATTACAGCATATGTCACACAAATGAAACAAGACATAACCTTAACCACTTCTAACATAAATATATTATCAATTAAGCATTTTGCAGAGCATCACTTTGTCTGTTTGAAGTTACTAGTTTATGTAGTTTAATTTAATCTATGCATCAATTACCAGGCAACACAAAAATTACGTGATTAACATCCAAATGAACTGCAATTGACACAGAATTCTATTTTCTCCATCTGGTGCTTTTTAAGACAAATACTCCAATCTTTATTTAGTTCATGCCAGGTGCACAACTAACTGTTTTCCTCTTATGCTTACACAGAAATCTTGCTCTTGTAAGGGCAGATATTTCGAGACTCCCTTTTGCTTCATCTTCAATTGATGCCATTCATGCTGGAGCTGCTATCCACTGCTGGCCCTCCCCTTCGAATGCGGTTAGTATCTGTCCAATTTGCTCTCATGATTAAGGTGACTAATTTGGTCTGTATAGCAGTATTGGAGTCTCCAGATTTATGATAATGAATTGTTCTGTAAAACTGTCATCACTTTAAACTGCTTTCACCTGAATCTCTGTTCTTCTGCTCCTGTTTAATTATCAGGTGGCTGAAATAAGTCGAGTCCTGAGGCCTGGTGGTGTCTTTGTAGCAACAACCTTCTTATCTTCTCCCAGGAACAATCCCTTCTCTGTTGAAGCGTTGCGGCCACTGAGACAGGTAACTTTTTCTACTTATTTTCTGCTTATCTAACCCTATGAGCTTATGCAGTCATACTCACATTGCTGCTTTATATACTGCAGATTGTTGGACCAGTTAACACCAGCTACAATTACTTCACCGAAGGAGAGCTCGAAGACTTGTGCAAATCCTGCGGTCTTGTTAATTACAGCAGCAAGGTCCAGAGGTCGTTCATCATGTTTTCTGGGCAGAAGCCGTAGCCTAAAATTACATCAAAACCTTTGTAGCCAAAGTATAGCTGTCAATTCTACAAAAGTCTTTGTAAAATGCCATTCACCGATACCTGCATAGATTAGACCCAGCAGAAGTTTTTGCTTGGAATTCCTCTCCCTGTTATGAAGATATAGTTGTCACATGTATACTGTGCTTCAGTACAGTGATGTACCACAGCCAGGGTGTATTTCACACCTGGAAGAAAAAAAAAACGTTCTAGTACTATTTTCCCAACTTGTATAGGGCCTCTTTTGGAATGGAGGATTTTTTCAGGAATTGAACTATAATTCCTGTGGAATTCCTATAAGATTCCTACGTTCGAAAGGGCCTTAAATGATTTATTTAGGCCCATAAACTTTCAATCTAGGGTTTATAAGTTTGCAAAATTTATATTAGTACTACCTCCGTCCCAAAATAAGTGCAGACATGAGTTTCCGCGCCCAACTTTGATCGTCTGTCTTATTTGAAATTTTTTTATAATTAACAATTTTGTTGTTATAAGATGATAAAATATGAATAGTACTTTACTCGTGACTTATGTTTTTATTTTTTTTTTCAAATTTTTTTCAAATAAGACGAATGGTCAAAGTTGGGCGCTGAAAATTATGGCTACACTTATTTTGGGACAGAGGGAGTAGTTCACTACAAGTCCAATCTGCCAAAAGGTTACATCAACATGTTATGTGTGAATAGCGACCAGAGTTGAGTTGTGGGACTGGGGACAATCAGAAGACGGGGGCGTCTAAGTGTCTACTCCCTCCGTTCCTACAATATAAAGGATTTTGAGTTTTTGCTTGTAACGTTTGACCATTCGTCTTATTCTATTTTTTTTTCAAATATAAAAAACGAAAAGTTGTGCTTAAAGTACTGTGGATAATAAAGTAAGTCACAAATAAAATAAATAATAATTTCAAAATTTTTTGAATAAAACGAGTGGTCAAACGTTACAAGCAAAAAAAACTTTAAATCCCTTATATTATGGGACGGAGGGAGTAACTATTAGCCATGTTTAGATTTGGTGTTTAACTATTAGTCACTCATATATAAATAACAGCTCTCATGTGTCTTTGACATAGGGGTCCAGTGACAAGTGACAGATAGTTAATTGTCACAAAGTGGTAAATATTTAAATCTCTCCCAGAAAAGGGCTGGAGAGAGGTGATCCGTCCGCCCATGGGCTGCTATAAAAAGAGTGACGGCCCATCTAGTGGGAAGATTGGGCCCTCCAATCTAACGTCGGTTCCCACCGCGTAAACGGCCCAGATCTCACGCCAGCCCGGCCCGCCTGCGCCCGCACCCCCCACCCGCGCCGCCCCCGATCCGCACCCCGCATTCGGCAACCGAGCCCTCTCCTCTCACCGATACCTCCGCCGCTCTCGCGATCCCCCTCCCCCCCCCACCCTTCCTCCCCGCCCCTCCGCCGCCACCCTCCTCGCCGCCGCCGCCGCCTTCGTGCAGGACCCCGGCGCCGCCGTCGACGCGGACGACGCTGTCCCCGCCGCCATCGCGCTTTGAGATTCGTGCGACTGACGTTGGAGGCCCGTACGTGGCGCGGATCGAGGGGAATCGCCCCCCCCCCCGGTCCCTGGCTGGACTCCACCTCTCCGCGACGCGCTCCTCTCCTGGCGAATTTTTTGTTTATTTATATTTGGGAGTAATTGGCTGCGCTCAGCTCCGGTCCAGCGCCCGGCGAATTCCACCGTTAGCGTCGCTAGGGTTTCGGTGGCCTGCGCGCCCGGCGGTGGGGGGGGGGGGGTCTGGCGGTCTAGGGTTTGCGGCCGCGGCTTGCGCCGTCGCGGCGCGGAGGCGTCCTCGTCGTTGTTGTTGGTGGGGCGGTGGCGGAAGCCATGGGCGACGGCGAGCGCCGCGAGGACGAGAACCCGACCACCAGTGCCGCAGGTAAGCTCGATTCCACGGAGCTTGTTGCCTTTTGGTTTGGTTTCTGTGGTCCCGCGACGCGAGCTTCGATCCCCGGGTGGGACTGTCTAGGGTTGTGAATTGCTGCGACGAGGAGGCAGGGTTTTGATGCGATTCGGTCCGCGCGCTTGTGTACTTTTGTGTTTTTTCTGTGGCCAGGCTTACACATTACGCTGTAAATTCGGTGCCTGGTAATGAAGGTTGGATTTGATGAGCTGCAGATTTGCTGTCTGGTGTCCTATATATATATGATTAGATGATCATTTTTTTTTGAAAGTTTAGGAGGGGTTTGGACAAAAGCTGTTTCTTTCAGCAAGCTCCCCGTGCTGTCTTATCAATTGTCATGAACTTTCTAAGCCCTGAAGGAATACCAGCATGCTAGTATCTTTTACTATATAAATAGTTATGTATTCTTTCCGTTTTGAATTGTGACTGGATAGCCAACCAATCTGGGTAAAACGAGATGCCCAAGATCATGCAACTATTGCCACAACTGATTACTATATATATATATTCATTTTAGAGAGCAGAATTCCATGTCCAGTTGTACTCCAGTTTCCTCATCTAAATATGGAATTCATAATACATATAGTAATGATGAATTAAAAAAGATCCTTTAGCTGGATAAGGGCATACTTTAGCCAAGTGAATTTTCAATGCAGCATGCATGGTGCTCATTCCTGTGTCTACTAGGGAAGTGAAGCTGTAGAATGAAACAACGGACTGTCTAAGATTCTCAATTGCCAAAAGATCACATGAACCCTCTGAGAATCGTTTATGGCTGCAAAGCAACATTCTTCTGTTTATACATGTTGCATTACAAGAGTTTAGCATCATTCTGCGAGCCTTTTTTATCAGTCTTTCTAAGTTCCGAATTTGACTTTGTTGATGAGATGTCAATTCTTTAAAATCTGAATTCATAATAACACCATCTGTTTTTGTGGACAATAATTTTAGGATGTGAGTTGCAGTGTGGGGATGGACAAAATTGCTTTTAAGTTTTAATTGTTTTGTCCTTTTCTTCTACAATCTGGATTATTGATTTGCCATAATAATTGATGAGTGTTGATTAGACTTGATCAATTAGTACTGAGTTAATTGATCCAACCAGTTATGCTGTTGCTATTTTTGTTATCCTTTGCAGATGACGATGATGATGAGGATTATGATGAACCTGGTGGAGGGAATCACTTCTTGGGCTTCATGTTCGGCAATGTTGATGATTCTGGTGACTTGGATGCTGACTATCTCGACGAGGTAGTTGAACAATTTTTGAAATGGTGGAATATCCTTTTTTTGTTACATGTTTTTTTAATAAAAAAATATCATGCTGCCTCTAGCAGATATACTGCAGAATATGCATGTTAGTTAGCATTTCTGTGTGGATACCCTGTGATTTCTCCTAGATGATATAGTCCAGTAAAGAACTTGTTAGGTGGGAGGCAATTTTTTATTTGCCACTGAATGATTCACACAATTCCTTTACACTGAGATGTGGACAGAGTGTGCAAATTAAAGGATTGGGTAAATTTACAGCAGTGTAGGAGGAATATATGCAAAATAAAAAGTTTGCTCAATGTAATATTGATGTACTCCCTCCGTCCCAAATTATAAGGCCTATATTTTTTTACACGGTCTACAATGACATACTCTGACCATTAATTTATTTCATATTATGTTATCAAACAACTATAAAATAAGTATCACAATAAAGTATTTTAAAATACAAATATAATGATATAACATGCATCATACTTAGCATAGATATAGCTAGTGTAATTATTAGTCAAAATTTATTGAGTTTGATTTTCCTTGATACAAGGACGCCCTATAATTTGGGACGTAGGGATTATTGTTTTGGCAGTATGGATGTAGTCCTTTCATCTCACCACTCACCATCATAAGTTAATTTCTTGGCACTACAGCAGCATGGACCTACCTCTAATGGCGGTCCATTCACTACATTTTATTTAACATGAGTCCTTTATTTTTTTCCCTGAACATTTAACTTTTATATATTTTTCTAATTAGAGTTACCAATTTCTTGATAGGATCCAACATAAGTACTGAGCATCTTATACCCCACAAACTAATAATGTGTCAGTATTGATTTTGTTACCACACGTCCACACCATTGGATAGAGTTAGTATTGTATACAATGAAATAAGTTATAGCCGCATTTCTGTTGTATCACTTCTATTTTCCTTGATTTACCAGGATGCAAAGGAGCACCTTTTTGCACTGGCGGACAAGCTTGGCCCATCTTTGAAAGACATTGATGTATGCTATCTTATAATCATTGTTAAGTTAATTTGACTTATATTTTCCTTGTCAAACAAGTTAATACTGTCGTTTTCTTATATAGCTGATCAAGCCTTCTGCAGCACCAACTGATCCTTCTGAGCAAGGTAAATCGCAAGTTCGTAACTCTATAATGCATATTTTTATTGTTTCTTCGCCTAACCCTGTTTATAACAATTCATTATTTTCTGCCCTTTCTGGCAGCTCCAGTTTCTGTTCTATACCAAATCATATAAAATAATTGATGCCTGATCCTTTTACTGTCCTGTAGACTATGATGCAAAAGCAGAAGATGCTGTTGATTATGAAGATATTGATGAAGAATATGATGGACCTGAAGTTGAAGCAGCTACAGAGGAGGACCATTTGCTATCCAAAAAAGATTACTTCTCTTCAAATGCAGTTTATGCTTCGGTCAATAGTAAAGTTTCAGTGTTTGATGAGGAGAACTACGATGAGGATGAAGAACCACCAAATGATAATGATTTGCCTAGTGATAATATTGTGCAAAACTGCACTTCAGGTAATAATGGAGTGCATCCCTAACTGTACTTTACCTTCATTGTTCTGGTATTAGAACTTGTTCCACTTCTTCTCTCTCCTTTCACTGACACTTCTCTCCCTTTATCTATTTAATTGTAGCTTCAGCTGAGCAACTGGATATGGCACCGTCAAATGACAACCTTGCTGTTGAAAAGATGTCTAGTTCGTTATCAGAACCAGAAGAAAGTTTTGAAAGTGAAGCTTTTCAGGTATTTTTGCTGTTTTTTCTTTTTGTAGAACTGTTTCCATCCCTCTTGAACAAAACTGGATAGCCGCATGGCATGTATAGTTGGAATTATTGTCAAACCAGAATTTAGTTCATGGTTAATTGTTTTTGAGTATCTCTCCTGTCACATAAAAAAATCAGTTTAGGTTTGGGAAATGTTTGATGAGACAGGAGTTTTCTGTGGACCTTGCTTACACTCATTTTGGGAAAATTATCATGGGTTCTGTAAAATATTTTTATTGCTAGAAGACATTGGAAGTGTGCTGATGGATGGGGCTGAGTTTAAATTTTCAGTCATACACCAGTCCCTTGCATTTGCAAATTACTCACACTTATTTCTATTCATAATCCTATAGTTGTTTCAAATGATCTCTTAGCCTTATCTGCCTACTTTTCTATTGAAGCAGAAAGAAATGGTTGCTGAAGAGCAACTTGAGTCTAAAACTGCAACTTCCCTCCCAGTTTTATGCATAGAGGATGGGAGTGTTATATTGAAGTTCTCTGAAATTTTTGGAGCCCAGGAGCCTGTAAGAAAAGCCAAAATGGACCGCCATAAGCGCCCAGTGAATAAAGGTATTCTTCATACTGATCAAGAGATAAATAATCTACAGAAGACCCTCATGAATACCAAGGCCCATCGTAAGATGTGGCAGTCGTATCTTGTGGGTGATTTGAGGGACATCACCTAACAATCTAAAATTACTTAATTTGCCCAGTGAATAAAGGTATTCTTTGTACTGATCATGAGATGAAAAATCTACAGAAGATCCCCATGAATACCAAGGCCCATCGTACGATGTGGCAGTCGTATCTTGTGGGTGATTTGAGGGACATCACCTGACAATCTAAAATTACTTAATGTTCAACCTATTTCTATTGTTTGATATGAAATTAATTTAGTTTTTACCAACCATATGGATTGTATATATCTGTCTGTATGGTCTATAATCTAGATAATTTTATGTGACATAGAGTCTCTAATTTAATGATAAGCTAGTTCTGAAACAATGGCATTTCTGACCAGTTATAGGGCTTAATAGCTTTTGTGGCCATTGCTCCTGGACAATACATTTCAGAGCTCCAGATTACTAATATATCTATAGTCTTATCATGCTTCTTTTGTTTGTTGATAATTACTTTCAGAGCTCCAGATTACAAATTTCACAGATATTGTTGAAGAAGACGAGGAGGTATTTCTACGCAGCACTATTCAAAATTTGTCAGCTTTGAAGCATATCAAGACGAACGATAATTTTGTTGAGAGTGACAGTGATGAGTCAACTTCAGATGTTGCCTTAAGACTGAAAGACTCGTGCCTTTCCGAACAACCGATGAAAGATAAAGATATTCCTACTGCTGTACAATCTCCAGTTTTCCCTGATTTTTATCCACTCGAGCATGAAAATTGGGAAAATGATATTGTTTGGGGCAATTCACCAACAACCGCAATTCAGCCTTGCTTAACAAGCTGTGCAATATCCAAAGAAAGCTTGGATGACCACAATGAAGACCAGGCCGAGGGTTATGTCTCTGGGTGTTGGGATGTACAGAATAAATTTCATAGTTCTTCAGTAATGGCAGATCCTTTTGGGCATACAGAAATACCTGATTCAACTAGTTACCGTTCCCCTGAGAACAGCTATTCTCCATTAAGAAAGGAGACTGCTCAGGAGAATAACAGCTTAGATGAACCAAATAACATAACTCAACCGGTTAAAATCGACACCACACGGCATTTAAACAAGCTCTCTTTACTGAACAAGGAGTTGTTAGAAGGATCTTGGTTGGATAACATAGTTTGGGATCCCAGTGAGGATGTACCAAAGCCCAAGCTAATCTTTGACCTTAAAGATGATCACATGCTTTTTGAAATATTAGATGAAAAGAATGGGGATCACCTCCGCTCTCATGCTCGTGCCATGATTGTTACTCGGCCAATGAAAACTTCAGCAGTGGAAAATGTTGACCATAACAATCAAGCAATTGCATTGAGTGGGAGATTCAACATTTCCAACGACAAATTTTATTCTAACAGGAAAATGTCGCAGCAAGCTAGATCTCATGCTAAAAAGCGTGCTACAATGGGCTTAAAGTTGGTACATTCTGTTCCTGCTCAGAAGCTCCAGACCATGAAGCCAAAGTTGAGCATGTAAGTTTTTCTTCCTCTGCATGACTCTATGAATCTTGCATTCATTTTCAGTTATTTTATTGAAGTGATAATATTGTAAATCTGAGCTTTATTCAGGTGCCTGCATAGCCAAAATATTTTTTTCACGTATTATTCTTCAATAACAGAACTGTGGTAATCTGTCTTTGATTAAACATACTTGCTTGAGAGAACAACTGCCAGTCCTGTTGTCTTGAGGAAATGTTTTCGTAGACATGGAACTGGCATCTGGCTATGTTCGTGAAGATAACCTTTTTTGCCTTGGATTTTCGGTTATTGTAATTGGCGCAGCTGTACACTGTCATGATCGATCATCAGAGAGCATAAGATACATTTTCTTGATTATAGTTGAATATATGTTCCTTTTAGGACCAATTGTTGGATACTATTGGGGAAAAAAGATTGCTTTAGAACTTCAAAGTTCAGCCAGGTTATAGTTCTGGGAACATGCATTTTTTACCAAAGAAAATGCACAAGTTTTCCAGTGGAAAGCTTTGTGTTCAATATTGATTGACTTTGTCTACATTTACTGCACTGCAGATTTCTATGCTCTGGTAGCATCAGCTATTCAAAGCTTTTTGGTCTTAATCGTATTCAACTAGTTGTATTTGGGGTTTTTAGTTGTCGTGTACTTCAACTACTGAACTTTGTTGTTTTCTGTTCTTTGTTGACTTTAAGTCGCTAAATTTTGTCTTTTGATCAACTTTTGTGCAGCAAAGAAATCGCAAACTTCCATAGACCAAAAGCTAAGTGGTATCCACATGAAAATAAACTTACTGCTAGATTTCAAGGAGATGAGTGCAGTCATGGGCCAATGACTGCTATTGTGATGACTTTGGGAGGAAAAGGAGTCAAATTTCTGGTCAATGCAGAGGAAACTCCACTTTCTGTAAAATCAAAAGCTTCCAAAAAGCTTGGTGCGTCATGGTCCCACTGTTCATTACTTTCCTTTAATGTGAACATCCTTGCTATACTTATATTTACTTGCAGATCAGTTGCCTGCCAATACCGCTGGGCAATTTGAAGTCCAGAAGAGATGAACAAATGATGAACGCTTCTTTTAATAGTTACTTATAATGGTATAACTGTTCTATGCAGAATTTAAACCTTCTGAGAAGATCAAATTGTTCTGTTCTGGAAAAGAGCTTCAGGATGACATCTCCTTGGCTATGCAAAATGTGCGACCAAACTCTATTCTGCATGTTGTTCGCACTGAAATACATTTATGGCCAAAAGCACAGAGATTGCCTGGTGAGAATAAGCCTCTACGTCCTCCTGGTGCATTCAGGAAAAAATCTGACTTGTCTGTTAAGGATGGACATGTATTTTTGATGGAGTAAGTACTTTTACTTTTTCTCATATCATGGGAGTATAATAGTTATCGTAAACTTATCCACATGCAAATTCTAAATGTTGCAGTTTTCTTTAAAAAGCACTGCTAGTTTAGCCAAGTAGTGAATACTGTGTTTCTTTGTTAGCACGTGCAACTTTGCTATTGATTATGTGAAGTTGGTTTATAATCTACTTTTAATTATTTGGATAATTTATTTCTTTTGTTCATTAGTGGTACCACATGCATTATTATTTATTCCTTCCAATGCAGATACTGTGAGGAGAGGCCTTTGCTTCTTGCAAATGCAGGAATGGCTGCACGACTGTGCACGTATTACCAGAAGACTTCACCTTCTGACCAAACAGCTACATCCCTGCGAAGCAACAGTGATGGACTGGGTACAATGCTTGCTATTGATCCCGCTGACAAATCTCCTTTTCTGGGGAACATTCGTTCTGGCTCCCACCAATCATGTCTTGAGACAAATATGTACAGAGCACCTGTATTTCCTCATAAGGTTGCGACGACAGATTATCTTTTAGTTCGTTCACCCAAAGGGATGCTTTCTCTTCGTCGCATTGACAAGTTGTATGCTGTTGGCCAACAGGTAAGGTCTGATGGTGAAGCATTGCAATCTATATATGTACTTGCAATGTTACTTTTTTCTTAACCAGTGTTTGCCCTAAGATATTCTATGGAAAATCTTTCAAGATGCATTTGCTGGAAGCGCTGTTATTCTTAAATATTTGTTGTATTACCTTGAATTTAATGTAGGTGAAAAAGTCAGTCTCCTGGATTTATCACAGATTGACTAGAAGGGCAACTAATTTCAAAGTACTTTAGTGGGGTAATTATGTTCATTTATTGGGTTGGACATGTAAAATGCTGGAAACTTTCTCCACCATTAGTTTTATTTTATTTTAGTTTATTCATTTAATTTTTTGGTGAATTGCATTTGTGCAAAGAGAGGACTGTAGTTTATGTAGGTATTGAAGAGAGGAGCCTGTTTGTACTTCCTTTTGGAAAATAGCTGTGCAGATTATGTTATATTGGTAGGAACATGTGCTGATAAATATTATCTTTAGTTTTTGTATGGATATTCATCTTATTATTTGAAATCTTATCTAAAGTTCAGTCTTTATACTGTTGTTTTACTCTTCTTTTTTTTTTAATAGATTGTTTCAGTTCTTGGATTAGCATATTTTAGCTTTAGCTTCACTGTCATGTGTTGCACTTTCTGAAAATATTGCAATTCTTGCAGTGTTGGCATTATCTTCATTTGTTTCTTTAATTCTTCTCTTTCTTGCTAGTTTGTACGATCTATTATTTCTATGTAACATGACTTGAAAAATCACATTTTGTTTTTTTGCAGAATATAATTTGAAAATAAGCTGTTTTCTATTGTATTTACTTTCTCAATGACTGGAATGTGAATCACAATTTTCATTGCCCCTTTATATCTGTCATAGCTATAGTATTACACTAAAAAAACATATTCGCACGTTTTCTCTTGCATGGCATCATTTCAGCATATCTGTTTGTAGTGACTTTTAACTTGTCATCCATAAAATAACAGATTTTATTCTCCTGGCAGGAACCTCATATGGAAGTATTTTCACCTGGGACAAAAAATATGCAGAATTATATTCTGAATCGGATTCTTGTGTATGTATATCGTGAGTTCCGTGCTAGGGAGAAGCCTGGTATTATTCCTCAGATTCGAGCTGATGAATTACCTATTCAGCCTCCTATAACAGAGGCTATTGTGAGGAAACGGTTAAAGCATTGCGCGGATTTAAGGGTTAAAATCTATCACTCATGTTATTATTACTCTTGTAGCTCCTTCTGTTTCTCTGGTGCTTTGACTTTCGATGTTGGGTGTTTGGTTTAACCAAAATTAATGCTGTCCTTCATTGATTTTTACAGAAAGGACCAAAGGGACATTTGTTCTATATTCAGAGACCTGATTTTCGGATTCCATCGGAGGAAGAACTGAGAAGATTATTGACACCTGAAAATGTGAGTTTCCCAAAATTACTTCCATCACTTGTATCGATAATGCCTTGTATGTTACATTTGTGACTTTTGATGCATTAATCAGTCATCACATTGCATTGGCCGTATGACAGTTGCCAGCATGTGAAATACTTGCTTCAAATTTTAATATCATGCTATACCACTGAGCAAATTGTTTGTGCATGTAGGTTATTAAATTTTGTTCATTTTTAGTTTAATAATTGTTTAATAGTCATAATGTTGCAATCTTAGACTACTGCCATGGCTTCCTACCGAGTTTATTTTGTCTTGAACCCTTCATCAGGTCTGCTGTTATGAGAGTATGCAAGCTGGCCAGTATCGTCTCAAGCACTTAGGAATTGAGAAGCTTACTCAGCCTGTGGGACTTGCATCTGCCATGAATCAGCTTCCTGATGAAGCTATTGAGCTTGCTGCTGCAGCTCATATTGAGAGGGAATTGCAAATCACTAGCTGGAATCTTACCAGCAATTTTGTTGCTTGTACAAACCAGGTACTGACCTATATTCTTTCAATGATCACATTGATCCATCATGTCTTGTTTTCTCTGTGACAATTTATATACCTAAAACCAGCTATTGTCGATGTGAACTAAAGAGTAAAAATTGATGTATTCTAGACAGACTTAGGATAACCTTCATCATCACTCTTTACTGAATTAACATTGTAGAGAAAGGGACTCAGGGTACCATCTTGTAGTACCTGTGGGATATATATTCTATCTTTGTGGAAATTAATTAAATTTGTATGTGTATTTCACATTCTCTGATTTTGACTGTGTAAGATTGATAAAGTGGTTTGACTGGTTTCTAAATTTGATGTACATCGCTCTATTTGAGTTGCATTTGGGTGCTGAGAATTGGACTGCCACTGTTGGGTGTAACACATACTGCATGGAAATCCACACAAACCATAATTCAAACATTCATTATTCTTACATATGAAAATTGTTCATGTCCAGTGGACATGGTTACCCAACTAGTATGAGCTAGACTAGGTGGGAAAAAAATGAGTGAGCGGAGAGAAATCAAGGGAGGGTACAAAGATTTAGATTCACCGAGGGAGTAGAGAGACCCTTGGAGTAAGGAGCACAAAGAACAGAGAGGGAGGAAGGGGATGATGGGAGATAGGTCCAGTAGGGAAAGTGGGAGGAGAGGGTTGAGAAAACAGATAAATCAGGTGATACCCTTCCTGGCCAAATTTAAATTTATTGCCTGTGCCCATGTTATTGGATAGCCTATTGTTTTGATAGAGGATACCCAGTTGCAACTCTGGCTAGGTGGGTAATGTATGTTGAACACGTGCATTTGTATCATCTCTTTTGTATATAGAACTTAAATGCACAGGCATATGGTTCCTTGTGTGTTGATTATGTTTTTCCTTGACTTGCTCAAATCTAATGCCATCGGGTGTATGCAGGACAAGGAAAATATAGAGAGATTAGAAATTACTGGTGTTGGTGATCCATCTGGCCGTGGGCTAGGATTTAGCTATGTACGAGTAACTCCAAAAGCACCTGTATCCAATTCAACACATAAGAAGAAGTCAGCTGCTGCAAAAGGCACCACTGTGACTGGAACAGATGCTGATCTCCGCAGGTTGAGCATGGATGCAGCTCGAGAGGTACCATCAGCCCTCACAATCTTAGCAGTATGATGCACAAAAATACATTTCCTGGGGTTCCAGGCACTGAGATGCCTTAGTATCATCATGGAACATGCTTTAGTGTGAACATATAATTATCTCAGATGTTTATTTTATTAACTGGGGTATGATGAAGAATCACATGGATCCCTGTAATAACAAAATATTAATTGCCTTCATACCATGTAAAACAAACACATTTTGTCAAAATACCAACTGCCGCGAGAATTACAAGTGGGACCTACTGCGAGTCTGCACATGCCATTGACACACTCGGTCATAATTTAGATACCTGTATTTTTTTTTTGTTGGCATGGAAGAATATACCCCATGCTTGCATTTCAGCCATGCTGTTTTTATGTTCTTTTACACTTTATTCACTGAGATTTGACACTGATATTGTTGTAAATAGTTGCTACTCAAATTTGGCGTTCCAGAAGAGCAAATTGACAAGTTAACAAGGTGGCATCGGATCGCGATGGTGAGGAAGCTTTCAAGTGAACAAGCTGCATCGGGTGTTACAATGGATGAAATTCCAGTTAGTAAGTTTGCACGGGGACAAAGGATGTCTTTTCTGCAGCTTCAGCAGCAAACTAAAGAGAAATGTCAGGAAATTTGGGACAGACAAATTCAGTCACTTTCAGCTATGGACGGCAATGAAAATGGCAGTGACACAGAAGCTAACAGTGATCTTGACTCATTTGCTGGGGATCTTGAAAATTTGCTAGACGCAGAAGAATTTGATGATGAAGATGTTGGTAATACAGACATAAGAAGCGATAAAATGGATGGAATGAGAGGGCTTAAAATGAGAAGGTGTCATACTCAATCCCAAATTAATGAGGAAATTCAAGATGATGTAGCAGAGGCTGCTCTAGTAGAAAAACTGCTTGAAGGTGATTAACTACCAATTTAGTCATATATGTTGCTTTTCAGATACCAAATTTGGTAACTAGTATTTATAATTGATTGCCTACTGTGTTGCAGAGAGTGATAGTGATATGAAGAGGAAGAAGCAGCCTGTGGAAACTACAAATTATAGCACTCCTATGTATAATCAGGGCAATAAAATGAAGCAGGGTAAGGCTGGCCAAATGATTAAATCGTCTGTATATGCCGGTGCATTAACCCCAAAAGAGAGCATACCAAGAGAAGCCAAGGAGGTACAAGAAATTCTGTCCTAAACTCTAAACCTACTCATTGTTTTTCCGTACTAGAAGAAACAATCTCTAAAATAACAGAGTGAGCCATGCCATTGCGTGCAGGTTGAAAATTTTGCTGAAGGAAGTTTACCCTCAAAACTAAGAACAAAGACAGGATTTGATGCAAATGATGATATTATTCTAGTAAAAAGGAAAAATATCCCAGGAAAGGATGGGTTCAAGGTAAGCCAGATAACTGTGATTTCTATAATAGCTTTCTTTAACTATTGGAGGTTACTGAATTTTATCTTCGTATTGAATACTGGGGGTTTACCGGAAGCTGTATTACACCTTTTTTTTTGTTTACTTGAATTTTGCGATATACTGTAACTATTTTAAGGTTGGGTGAAATAAATATTACTTACAAATAAAAAAGGGGATAGGGTGGTCTTGCCTACTAACACCCTGAATTCGAAACCCTCTCAGAGGTTTTGTACATGTGGCATGCTGACCCAAGCTGTCGTATGATCTAGAAGTGTATAACTTAGTTTGTATACAAATGTATAAAAAGTTGACACAGTAAGTTAAATAGAATGACCAAAGTCCAAATTTGTACTCTTGTGAAAGATTATGTTGTTGCACAGTTTATTTTTTGCTACCATGCCTGCAAAGGATTATTAAATGTTAACGCTGCTGTTGAGGAATTTATGGTTCATATGTTGAATTTCTCAACTTCTTTTAATAGGAGTAGCTTTAATATAATGCTGATTCTATCTTGCTACTGTGATTCTTATTTGGCATCTTATTTTAAGGAAAAGAGACAGGGTGCAAGGGGAGACACTCTTGTATGTGGAGCTTGTGGTCAGGTACAGATAGTAGAATGTGTTCTTGCATAAATTGTTACAAGTACATGGTTATGTTTCCTGACTTTGTATGCCACTTTTTTTTTATAGCTCGGGCACATGCGGACCAACAAACTGTGCCCCAAGTACGGGGAGGACCCTGAAACATCCGAAATGGATGTCAATTCCATCAGGTCTCATCCTCCTGATATTGTGAGTAATGCTCAAATAAAAACATCAAACAAGAGGTTGGTAGCAAAAGTTTCGTCTGAAGCTTTTGAAACTGAAGGACCTGAAAGTATTGAAAAGGCTAAACCTGTCCCTGTAAAATTCAAATGTGGAGCACCTGAGAAGTCATTGGATAGGAACATGTCAATCTCAGCTTCTTTGGTTTCTGATAAACGTATGATGGATGCTACAGATTCGAAATCAACTGGAAAGGTTAATAAGATTAAAATATCTAACAAGATAAAATATGATGATTATCCTCCTGATACTCCTAAGCCATCTGTTGTAATAAGGCCTCCTGCTGAAGTGGAGAAGGATCTACCTCGTAAGAAAATTATTATCAAGCAGCCCAAGGTGCTTGGAGATCAGCAAAGACCTACTGAACTTAGGAGTGGTCAGGAGCCCAGAAAGACAAGGAAAATTGTTGAATTGTCAAGCTTTGAGAAGAGAGACAGAGAGGATGATAATGGTTTTTCTGGACAACCTATTCAGATCAATTCCTCACATGATAGGGGGTGGGGTCTGGTGGGAAAAAGAAGCAAAGGAATAATGGAAAGTAGTGAATCCTGGAGAGCTTTTGAGGAGCAACGAGAGAGACAAGAACAGAGACTAATTGAAGCTAGGATATATGATGCAAGGAGAGAGGATGAGCTCCAGAAGGCAAAGAAGAAAAACAAGAAAAAGAAAAAACATGAATTTCGAGATGATGACCTACTTGATCCTAGGCCATACAAAAATGACAGAAGGGTACCTGAAAGAGGTCGAGCGGCAAAGAGACGTACCCCAGCTGATATGACAGAATACACACCACCAGCTAAGCGGCACAGAGGAGGAGAGGTACTTGTTCTCAACCCTGTTTTAATAGGATTATGCATTGTTTTAGCAATGTTGGTATGTTAGACCTTTTTGTAATTCCGCCACCAGAGATACCTGTTTCTGCAACTTATTGTTTGTAGAAATTGAGAAAGGGCAAAATAATTGTATGATAGCCTTTCAACCAGCGTCGTGCTTGGTTTTGTTATTCACCTTTAGAGAGTTGGGACTAGTTTTTCTCAACTAAACTGTCCCATTGTGTTGTGCGTTCTCAACAAAATAGTTTGTTTTGATCAATATTCAGTTTGATCATCCCCGTCAACATCATCATCTTTATTAATTCTCTTTTGGCACGTTCATCTTTAGTTTTTTAACATATAGACACCCGCATTTTGCTACAAGGGATGTGATACCCATTTGTGAGATATAGGTCGGATAATGCAGATAATCCATTGTTGTTTTTTTTGCAAGACTATGAATTTAAACTTAATTTATTTGTTTGCATACTGATGCAGGTTGAGCTCTCCAACATATTGGAAAAAATAGTTGACCACTTGCGGACAATGAGCTGTTCATTCCTTTTCCGTAAACCGGTGACGAAGAAAGAGGCTCCTGATTACTTTGACATAATTGAGCGTCCAATGGATCTTGGTACTATAAGGGACAAGGTGCGAAAGATGGAGTATAAAAATAGGGAGGATTTTAGGCATGATGTGGCTCAGATAGCACTGAATGCACATACATACAATCTTAACCGCCATCCCCACATCCCTCCGCTTGCTGATGAGCTCTTGGAGTTGTGTGATTATCTTCTTGAGGAAAGCGCGGATGTGCTAGATGATGCGGAATACGCGATCGAGGACTAGTGCACACTAACCAGATATGGCATTTAGATCTTGCTATATTCTAACTTAGATGCTGTAATGCTGACCTGTAGGAGGGGGGAAGAGCACCTGTAGAATTTTTCATTTTAGGCTCTGGCTATGGTATACCTGGGATCCCCAATTCCAACTATTTTGCCTCTTGTTGGTATTGGGAGTTGGGAGTTGGAATGTACACAAACTCTAGGTTAGACATTGAGGGCCCACTGTAACTATTGGCCTCTTGCTGTAAAAATGTAGCGATGTAATTTTTTGTCCATATCCATGGCCTTGGGTGTCTCAAATTCTGATGTTGTAGCATTACATCCTATGTGAATGGCATCTAACCATGAGTCAAAGGTGCAACACGTCAAAGCATGTGCTAAAGGTTGTACCCGGTCTAACCTGATTGGTGAAGGTCCCTTCAAATCCTGCATGATTAGAGGCTTACCATGCAACTATGCGAAGTCAAAACCTGTAATTGTAACTGTAACGTGAGAGATGGTGTACCGGCAGTACAAGTTGTTTGAGTTGCTGCCAGATGATGATGTATTTGATGTTGCATGCTTTGAATGAGTATTCACCGCTCAACGATATCATTGGATGGTGCAGTTCATAGTTTCATACCTTTGGTTTTTGGTTTGTGATGTTGTAGCAACAGAACAACAAGTAATCATCCATTAAACAATCAAGTCCCTTTCTCCTACTTGCTGAATGTACTGATGGCTCAAGAGGAGTTGAGTTTAGAGTATAGAATTTTTAAGATGCTGACCTGCCAAGTAAACTATACAACAATTCCCTAGCTCTGAAGCACCTGCTCCAGATGCTCTTAGCTGAAAGAAAATCTTTGAAGTGTACGAGGGCTGTCTGGACCGTCCGATCATGACAACGAACGACGGCTTAGTCCAAGCCAATTTCATAATGGCCCAGATACTCAATTTTTGCATGGTCAGATCACATCTAATATAATAGTACAAAAAACAACTAAAACGTGTACTAGCATCTAGCAGTACGAACCAGCAAACTGGCATGCATTTGTCTACTCCAAAAGAGCACCGCTTAACGCGGGACGCGGCTGCTCACGACTAAACCATTTTTATAATTTTATTCTCTTGCTTTTAGTAAAAAAATAATGGCAGTAGTAGACGAAGACCTGGCAAGTCCTTGGGCTTAAATCTCACGAGCATATGACCAATTGACCATATCTATGCACGCGACAACCAAAACATTACAATTCCACGAGTCCGCGACCTGTTCTACTCACGTCACCCCGCATCCCTGATCAAACAAAGCATTTGCTCGGGAGCTTGAGCTCGAGCTCCGTAGGCCGGAGCAGCCATGGTGTCGTCGTCGTCGTCGTCGCCTCGCCGGCGAGCTCTCCTCCTGCTGTTCGTCTTCGCGTCGTCGTTCTTTGCCAGCGCTGCAGGTGAGAGGGTTCTTGAGTAGTTTTGTTTCTTTGATGAAATGGAAGGCGTGGAGATTGATCGATCGATCGATGGTGGCGTGCCGTGTTTGCAGCGGCGGTGTCGCGGACGAACTCGTCGTCGGCGTTCGTGCTGGCGGCGGCGCAGACGCGGCGGAAGGATCCACTCCGCGGGCTGAGGTACTACACCGGCGGCTGGAACATCAGCGACAAGCACTACCTCGCCGTGAGCTCCTCATTTCCGTGATAAATTTCAGCTCGCAATGCGATCACCTTGGTGTTCTACTGTTCTTCCTGCCTGGTTCTTGATGCTGACGCCGTCGAGTTTTGCTATGCTTGTCGCCGCGCGCGCGCAGTCGGTCGGGTTCAGCGCGGCGCCGGTGTTCGTTGTCGCGGCCGTCTGGTTCGCCTCCCTCGCGCTCGCCGCGTTCGTCGCCTGCTGCTGCCGCTGCTGCTGCTCTGGCGCCGGCGGCGGCAACGGCAACGGCGGTTACTCCTACTCCCGCGCCATCTTCGCCGTCTCCCTCGCGCTCCTCCTCGTCTTCACCGCCGTCGCCATGTAAAACCATTTCTCCTCTCCAAGCCATTTCATATTACAAAGTACAAAACTGTTCAGATTTTTTTTCTAGTATAAGTTTGATCAAATTTATACAAAAAGTTTAGCAACATCTGCTTCATTAAAACTAGCATTAAATATATTTGTTTTGCATTAGAAATGATACTATATCTCTTTATAAATTTAGTCAAATCTAAATATATTTTGATAATATATTTGTTTGTGGAAATGCTACTATATCTTTTTATAAATTTAGTTAAATTTAAATAAGTTTGATAAATAAAATCAAAACGACCTATAATACGAAACGGACGGAGTAATTTCTAATTTTGGACGCCGCCGCCGTCGCTGTGGGTGCAGAATCGGGTGCATCGTGCTGTACGACGGGCAGGGGAAGTTCCACGGGAGCACGACGGCGACGCTGCGGTTCGTCGTCAACCAGTCGGACGGCGCGGTGGCGAGCCTGCGCGGCTTCAGCGGTTTCATCGAGGCGGCGAAGGCGGCCGCCGTGGAGAAGGCCACCCTCCCCGCCGACCTCCAGGGGAAGGTCGACGACGTCGTGCGCCGGGTGGACGCCTCCGCCGACGACCTCGCCGCGCGCACCACCACTAACTCCCGCAAGATCCGCACCGCGCTGGAGACCATGTATGTGTGAGATTTTCTTGGTGGACGCCATGACCTCGTCACTTCCATCATCAAGAAGATCTCGTTTGACATTCTGTTTGCCTTCTTCTCGTGATCGCAGAAGGACAATCCTCATCGTTGTTGCCGCCGTGATGCTGGCCTTGGCGTTTCTTGGGCTTGGTGAGCATAAAGATTTCTTTGCTGGTTTTGGTGAATTTTGTCAAATTCGTTTGTTTCTGTATTCGAGTAAATAATTGACAAATTCTTGTTCGATTTTGGTGCAGTGTTCTCCCTGTGCGGGCTGAAATCACTAGTATACACGTAAGTACAACATCACAGAACGTACATAGACTTGTATATAGTACAAAATTTTTTTTTACTGCAAGTTTGTAACCTTCAGTTCTTCTGCAGCTTGGTGATTTTTGGATGGATTCTAGTTACTGCAACATTCATACTGTCCGGCACTTTTCTTCTCTTGCACAAGTAAGTTGTTCTCCCTTGTTACTGTCTTGTTAAATATATTGCTTGATTAAATATAATTTGAAAAAAAGGTGAGATTTTGATATTCTAAAATGGATTGAGTAAATTTAGTCGGCAAAAAAAAACAAATTTACTGAAGTGGAATATTCTGCTTCTGAAAAGTTAAAATTTTTTTGTATGAACCAGACGTACTGGAACACTTTGCATCTCAGTCTTTACATTGACTAGTTACATGCTTGTATGTTATAATGGGTCAACCCCATATAATTAGGGGTAGATTAGGAGTCGGTATGTCGGTGTGTTAATAGGCTAGGTCTATATAATTAGAGATAAATGATACTCTTTCGGTTCTAAAATATAGTAACTTTTAGTTTTTAGAATTCGTTTCAAAATATAACAACTTCTTCATTAACATTCTCTTCTCAACCAATCACAATACTCCACCGTTCAATTTTCCCACATACCTTCATTTCTTCTCCAATCACAACACTTCTCCATTTAGTTCTATCAACTTTCTTAATAACTACGTCTAACTTTTAAAATATTTATATTCTGAAACGTAGGGGGAGTATTACTTTTCACGTACGCACTGAACACGTTAGGACGGTGGGATGAGAGGAGAACGACTATATTTTAAGATAGCAGATATCAGTTAAATCTGAATCATTAAGACACTAACACGAGCTCTGCTCTGCTTCGTCGTGCTCGCAGCGCGGTGGGCGACACGTGCGTGGCCATGGACGAGTGGGTGCTCCACCCGCAGGGCCACACGGCGCTCGACGACATCCTCCCCTGCGTCGACGCCGCCGCGACGTCGGACGCGCTCCGCCGGAGCAAGGAGGTCAACTACCAGATCGTCTCCGTGCTCAACAACCTCCTCGCCACCGTCGCCAACGCCAACGTCCCCGCGTCGTCGCCGCCGTCGCCGCCGGCCAGCTACCGCCAGTCCGGGACCCCCGTGCCGCTCCTCTGCAACCCCTACAACGGCGACCTCTCCGACCGCGCCTGCGCCGCCGGCGAGGTCGCCGCCGCCGACGCGCCGCGGGCGTGGCGGGGCTACGTGTGCCGCGCCACGGGGGCGGCGCCGTCGTCGGAGGTGTGCGCCACCACCGGCCGCCTCACGCCGACGATGTACGACCAGATGGTCGCCGCCGCCAACGCCAGCGCCGGGCTGACCCAGTACGGCCCCGTCCTCGCCGACCTCGCCGACTGCTCGTACGTGCGGCGCGCGTTCCAGGCGGTGACGGCGGCGCACTGCCCGGGGCTGCGGCGGCACAGCGGCAGGGTGTACCAGGCGCTGCTCGCCGTGTCCGTCGCCGTGGCGGCCGCCGTGGCCGCGTGGGTGGCGCACTCACAGGAGCGGCGGCGGCGGAGCGAGACGAGGCGGTTCCAGGTGTCGCCGTACAGGTTCCCCATCGAGGAGAAGTCGCTGCTCAAGAGCCCCCGGCGGCCGTACCGGCGAGGCGACAGCGGCAGGATGGCGAGGTAGAAGAAGACATCGCCATGGATGGATGGATGGATGGTACAGTGTCGAACACCTTGGGACGCTGCCACGCGTGTTGAGCAGTTTAGGATGTGTTTAGTGCTTCGATGATTATTATATTGTACTGATTAATGATCTCCATCGACCATACAGGTTATACATTGTACAGCTTGAAATGATTTCGTGAAAGAAGTGTGTAGTTTGAGAAAATGCAATATCGTGCTCGCCCACGTCGAGAAGCACTGCCTCTTTGGTTTCTAACATTTCGCCGATCCTATTCATTAGCCCTAGACAACAAAACACAACAGGGTATCCGATTGATCTGGCGCCCATTGCGATGATCGGAAAGCAGCACACCATGGATCACACGTAGAATTGAATCATTAGCCCAAAACATCGCAAAAACTACGGGAATCAGCAACAAAAAATAAAAAGAATGCAGACGTGAACTATGGATAGTGGCAAATGATCTCCACCTAAAAAATAAAAAATAAAAAATAAAGGCGTCCTCTCCTCGCAGTCGTGCCGCGGAAGATTGGACCGGATCATGGCGGCGGCGGCCGCCGGAGACGGCCTCAGAAACTGCAGGACCCACACATCAAAACCCTATCGCCGGCAGCAGGGGACACCACGCGTCGAGATCGATCGAGACCAACTCGCACCCGAAAAATGGCGAAAGAGAATCAAACAGAAGCAGAGAGCTCAAAATCGAACGCACATGGCGACGGCACTTCGCCGATCGCCACCGCCGCGCGGTCCTATACGGAGAGCCCGCTCGATCGGCCGCCGGAAACCTAACCCCGCCCCCGTTCGCGCGCTCCCATGGAGATGGCGGAGGAGAAGGGGAAAGCTTCTCCAGATCGAGGAAGGCGGCGGTGGAGGTGCGAAAATTTGGACTCGACTGACTTGTGGGCCTCGAGCTTTTCGGCGTTCTCGCCAAATGGCGTGGGCTCTATTGCTTTGGATCAATCTAGACGTGGGCCGTAGCTGGCAGGACTTGGCCCTTTTCGCGTTCGTGTGATCACGGGACAACGCTGGGCTCGTTGACGAAAGACGGGAAACCCGTGACATTCGGGCCTGTTTTTTAAGAGCTCCAACTCCTAAATTTTGTTTCAGGAGAGTTGGGTTTTGGAGTGAAATTGTGGAGCAGGTCTATACTCTACTCTATCTCTCTAGCTTATTTTATGATAACACTCTACCCAGTTTCGCTTAGAAAAGGTGGGAGCTAGAGCTGGAGTTGTGCTAAATAGACCCTTCCCATGTCAGACTCTTAGCAACTCCTCTCTTTGTCTTCGAATATAACAACATAATTTGTTCCAAAATATAATAACTTCTCCGTCAACATTTTTTTCTCAACCAATTATAACACTTCACCATTCAATTTTTCACCTACATCCACTTCTTAATCAATCATAATCTTTTATCATTTAACTCTAACTACTTTCTTAATGACCGTTTCGAACTTTAAAAATTCTTACATTCTTGGACGGGGTAATACCGTTTTTTTTCAGTAGCTTTCTCTTTACATAATATAATAATGATAGATATAACGATTTCTTTATCCTTTTAATTAATGGTATGCCTGAAAATGCGTAGCAACCGTAGCATTTTATAAGAAGAAAAAAATGCATTGCTTTTTAGGGGGAAGGGAAACGAACATTCGTGGTAATGTACGCTCAACACGCATGTAAACTGGACGGCAGGATGCATCATAGCGGCAAAGGCGGCATGCAGCAGCAGCAGCTAGGGCCCTTTGTGGATGAAAGAAATGAAAACCCCAACCCCCACCCATATCCAGGAGATGTAGCGAGCATGGATAATCTGATAATGCTAGAGGCCAGATTAGGGACCTTAATTAGGGACGGGCCTTCCACCATAAATTAATACATGTGTCGCTCAATAGTTGACGGAAATGCAGCTGTACGTTAGGAGTATATATAACATATCCACAACCACAGACACCATAACACTCCATATTTCTCCATCTCATGAGACAAGACCGGCCACTTGTACTAGTAACCAGGTTCCATAATTCTTCTTGACGCTTTAAATAGTAACACGATCTTCGAAATATGTGTTTAAATATATTTTTCTATTATAATATATATATAATAAATTAATACGTTTTTATTTTTATTATAATACTCATAAGATAAAGAGTGAATTGTACTTTAAGCCACTTTTGTTTACCTAAGTTTCATTTAATTTGGATCACCCTCTATCTAATCTTCTCACTTTGAACTAGTTTTATTTTTTTTACCATTTTTCATTTTGGACTGTGCAAACTCTCTTCGCGAGCACAACAACAGAATCAAACACACTCTCATGGCAACAATATTCCCTATTTACGTGCAATTCACATCTTTATTAAATGAGAGGTTTGATGTTGCTATACAAAAGTGTTAGGGTGGTCTACCGTAAAAAAAAAATAACCATTCAAAAAAAAATGGTGGTCTAAAGCACAACAAAGGTAAAATAACCAAGCCTAATGTGAAAAGATTGGATAGAGGGTAATCCAAAATAAAACTTAGGTAATAAAAGGTGATTCAAAATGCAGTTTACCCTAAGATGATAAATCTATATATGATATTGGTTTAGTGCCTTTAATAAACTAAACTAGCTGTGTGGCCCGCGCAATTGCGCGGCTAGCACCTAAACAAAATCATATATTTTTAGTATGATTTTACTTAAAATTTATTAAATAGCTATCTCATTGTCTTAAGAGTTTGAAAGACCAAACCTTATCATTCCCGTGTTTCTAATTATATAGTTTTTTAAAAGTCACACCAGTTGCTACCCCTTATGACATCTCCTTCTTTATTTGCTTGTTCGATCTACCACTATTTCTATTCATTCTTCTTGGAACCTTTAAAAATTGGATCTTATAGTTTTTAGAGTTTTTTTTGTCACGTTGGGTTTCGTTTTTATAATTTTTAGGCGTCCCGTCAAACGTTGCTATTATACTCCTCTATGGTCCGTCCACTATCTCTTCTCTTTATTGTCATTGAGATTTTAAAAATCGAACATAATTATTGTTTGGGTTCATTTTTACTTTCTAGAAGTCCCGCCAAACCGTCAGCGGCTTTGCCATTGTATTTCTCTACGGCTCGCCCGCTGTCTCCCTTCTTTATTATCATTGAGATTTTAAAATCAAACATGATTATCATTGTTTTTTTTACTTTTTAGAAGTTCCGAACCTTTAAAAATTGAACCTTGTAGTTTTTAGAGTATATTGTCTTGTTGGGTTTTATTTTTTATAATTTTTAGAAGTCTCGTCACACGATGCCACTATGCTCCTCTATGGCCCGTATGCCGCCTACTCTTTATTGTCATTGTGATTTTAAAAATTGAACATAACTATCGTTGGAATTCATTTTTTATTTCCTAGAAGTCCCGTCAACCGTTGGCGGCTCTGCAACTATACTCCTGTACACCCCGCCCACTGCTTCTCCTTTTTATTATCATTGAGATTTTAAAAATCGAATATGATTATCATTGGGGTTTTTTTTTTTACTTTTTAGAAGTCCCAGCAATCACCTTGTTCGTTTGCTTCACGGCCTTTCTACCGTCCCTTGTTTTAATCGTTATTAGTATTCTATTTGGTGTTTTATTAACAGTTTTTATATGTTGTATCAACCGCCACCACTCTACTCTATTATAGGCCTGTTACTTAATTTATCTCGTCATGTCTTTTAGATGGTCTTTTCTTTCAATAGTCTTTATTTTTATCATAAACTTTAGCTATTTATAAATTGTATTCCAAATTGAAAACTTATTTTTCATTTTGTAATTTTAGAATTTTTTTTTCAAATTTTAATTAATATCGTATTGTGTTCTTTTAATATTTTTATTTTTTATTTTCAAGAGAAAAGCCCGTGCGCTGCAACGGGTGACAACTATTTTAGTCTTAATTCACTGTGAGAATTCGCTTGGATCTATATATTTCTATAAAATCATAAGCTGTGGTTAGGAGTCTGTTTGTCTAAAGTCAGCATGCGAATTTTTTTATACGACTCCTATATTTCCAAAAGCGGACGAACTTAAAAATCAACTCAAAGGATATATATTTTTTCAAAAGCGAACAAATTTATAAACCGACTCATACACGGATGACATACCAAAATACCGACAAAAGAACATCTTAAATTTTTTATAATAGTAGAGGTTTCTTTTAAAAAAATAGTAGAAGTAGAAGAGAAGAGAAGATTACGGACAAAAAGTCCTTTTTCGAGGCAATCGTACAGGAATCGGACCTTTTTATTTTTTTATACGGTAGAAGTTTTTTTTTCTCTTTTTTTTATTTTTTCTTGCCTTTTTTTCTCCACAGATAGTCGGACTTTTTTTATGGAGTCGGACGTTTTTTTTTACATAGAAGTTCTTTTTCTCCTTTTTTTCTGTTTTTTTATACCGGCAAAAACATCTTCAATTTTTAATAGTACAGATTTCAGTTGTTTCAAAATTGTATTCCTACTTGAACTCTCTTTTAATTTTTCTAATTTTGGATATTATTTATTTTTTATTCTGAATTTTAATTAATCACATATTGGGTTCTTATGTGGATTCTTCTTTCAATATTATTTTTTTTAATTCCGAATTTCAGCTAATTTTAAATTGTACTCCTATTTGAACTCTTTTTTTTTTTTGCTAATTTCGGATTTTATTTTTATTTTTATTCCCAATTTTAATTAATCTCGTATTGTGTTCTTATATGGACTCTTCTTTTAATATTTCATATTTTTAATTCCGAATTTTAGCTATTTTAAAATTGTATTCCTACTTGGACTATCCTTTTTTTTTTAATTTTAGATTTTATTTTATTTTTATTTCGAATTTTGATTAATCTCTCGTATTGGGTTTCTTATATGGAAACTTCTTTTAATATTGCTTATTTTTAATTTCGAATTTCAGCTATTTTTAAACTGTATTTCTACTTGGACTCTATTTTTTTTTCTAATTTCGGATTTTATTTTATTTTTTATTTTGAATTTTGATTAATCTCGTATTGGGTTCTTATATGGACTCTTATTTAAATATTGCTTATTTTTAATTTTGAATTTCAGCTATTTTTAGATTGTATTTCTACTTGGTCTTTCCTTTTCTTTTTTTTTTCTTTTTCTTCGATTAATGTAGGAATTTCTAGCCCCTACAGCGAACGTGGTGCCTCCTTTCAAAGTTGTTTTAATAATATAATAGATAGATAGATAGATAGATAGATATAGATATAGATAGATAGATAGTTATTGATAGTTGAAATTATAAAAAGGTATCTTAACTTTATTTAAATCGTAAACAATTATGGAACCGGAGGAAGTACGTCCGGTGGGCTAGCCGTGTGGGCCGGGGCCGGGCCGCCGGCCAGCGTTCGCGACAGCAAGTGCGCGGGCGCAATGATCCTCTGGGAAGCCACCGCGCGCGACGCCCCCGCCTTAATTTTGACGCGCCTACGCACAATACAACACGTACGCCGCCGAAGCCGTACGTCGCGCGACTCTCGCGGCACGCAAGTCTCGCTCGCGCGCGGGTTGTTGGTAGATGCGCATGGGTGGCAGGATTTGGCGCTGATCGATCACTCGAAACACGGGGGCTCACGGTGCGCGACGCGTACCTGCAGCTATAAGCTAGCCACGGGCACGGACCTTAGGTGTGTGGGTGGGAGACGACAGGACAGGCACGCTAGTAGGCTTAATTCATCTCACGCGTCATCGCTTGACTGCATGCGCCAAGTGAGGGGCCTTCAGAGCTTGTACTGCTATCATGAAAAATTCTAAGGAAAAATTAGACCGTCTTTAGTTCACCCCCAACTACCTAAAACTTTCAACTTTTCATCACATCACATCACATCCAAAACTTTCCTACACACATAAATTTCCAACTTTTTTTTTTAAACTTTCAACTTTCCCCAAACTTCTAACTTTTTTCAGGAACTAAACACAGCCTTAATAACATTCATACAAAATGTACATATCAGTTCGTAGCATTTTAGTACAAACTCAACTCACACGTTGAGATACACAGATTTTTTTTATTTCTTAATGTGTAGGTCAAATTTAAACTTGATTTTTAGTGGAGTGCTAAATACAACTATACTCTATATTATCTTCTTTTAAAAAAATTAAGTTTGTAACATTATTTACATTGGATTTAAAAGAAGAAAAATACATGAATGACGGAATCCACTATTTTTTTTTGCGGGGAAAAGGGAATATATTACTCCTCACAATCAATGTGTGAGATGAAATTACAACTATTCTTAGGCCAAAATTTAGACATAGACTCACATCGTGCCTTATTTGCTAAGGTATGGCTTACACGATTTTGGTTACGATGGCCCTTGACAATTCTAATCTCCCTATTTCCAGCTAACAAGTCTTTCACCTCTCGGACAAGAAAAGCCAGGTCTGATTTATCCTTTTCCTGTGATTTGATCATGTGAATAGCCACCAGGCAATAAGTTTCTACGATCAACGGCCAAAGAGTCCATTGCAAAGCCAGAGCTATTCCACTACCCTTTAATATACGATCATACAAAAGTCGCAACCTATATGTGTTGTTAACATTTACTAACACTAGTACGTAGCACTAGGGTGCTGTTTGACTCTCGAATTCTACTAGTATCTTTTATTATTCTGTTTAGAGTATATATAGCCTCGAGAAAATAGTACAAAGTACTACGCAATTTTCAGAATTATGAAACTCAGAAAGGTAAGATCTTTTTCAGACATCACGCATACAAAAACAAGCTTGCAGTAGAGCGGTAGTAGCATTTGTTTGACGCAGCTAGGATCACCCTAAGATTCCAACCACTCCCTGTTTACCACCACACACAAACTTTGTTTACTGCACACTTAATTGCCCTTTTACCCATGCCTAATGACCTAATCTTGTGACCTTTTTGAACGCTCATAGCCGAGCTATAGCTACAAGACAGACAAGAAAAAGGTCCACATGGAGAGATTCCAAAGACTTGCTCAGTTTAAATTTCTCCCCCTATACATGCTACTCCATAAATCCCAAAATATAAAAAAATTAAGTTGAATTTGACAAATCCTAAAACCATGAGTCTATACAGTCTCTTGAGATATACTCCCTCCGGACTGATAATACTTGTCGTTTTGAATAAGGGTGAGGTCAAACTTTAGAATATTTGATTATCAATCATTTTTAAAATATTTATCTTTCAAATATGGTGACTACATGTATAGATTAGTCTTAAAATGTATTTTAATAAGATCATATATTTGTTAATATTTTTATACATATTATAATAGAAAATAATGGCCGAAGTTTTTTTTTTTTGAGACTATGCCATTGTCCAAAACGATAATTATTATCAACCCGGAGGGAGTAGTACTAGGATGGTATAATAATACTGTAGTAGTATCAGCAAATAATACTACATCCTTTCATGTAATTTATGGCCTCTCTCTGTGATTTTATTACTGCCAATCCGACGTGAACGTGTAGTAACAGCAACAGTAGTAACAAACATGCAGTCCCTACCATCTTCTGAACCTGCCACACTTTGTCACCGCTTTATTCGCGTCCTTTCAGCATTTACGTATGCTACCTGACCATACCATGCCATGCGTGGTCCACATAACACATCGGCCATCATCCTGCCTCCATATCGACTCTCAAGTAGTGACATTATTACAACCAAAAAGAAAAGAAAAGAAAATCTCAACTGAATAGATGAGATTAATTTAGGTCTTAAATGAAACCATCACGAACTTGAACCATAAAGGCCAATGCAACTAATGCAAGTGCTCATTTAATTAACAAATACTCCTACTAACAAACATCTCTGCACTGATACGCGGTAGAAGCGAAAGCCATCAGATATCGTATAGTACTCCCCTTTTTGCAGGGGCATGCATGTGATGAGCGATTTGCATCGGATCAGGCTGACAGCTTTGGCGTTTTTGTGTCTCCTTTTGGCTTAAGATCTACTACTTCTACACCTCGATCGATCGCTGCTGTCCAGTGTACCAGAGTTCAAATGGCCTATTTGAGAAAGGTTACAGTGTAACAAAGTTTAAATGACCTATTTAAGATAGTCTAAAATTCTGAGAAGTTGCTTGTTAGTAACTACTCCCTCCGTTTCACAATGTAAGTCATTCTAGCATTTCCCACATTCATATTAATGTTAGTAAATCTATATAGATTTATACGTTTAGATTCATTAATGTCAATATGAATGTGAAAAATGCTAGAATAACTTACATTGTGAAACGGAGTAAGTAGTTCTTTTTGTCAAAATCTGCGTGAAAAGTTAGATTGTTTGGTGAAGTTTCTGATTATGTAAGAAGCCGCAGGCCTGCACCTAACAGAGGCTCCCCGAAACCGGTCCAAAGACCCAAACGGTTGTGTTGGATCTTGTAGTCTTGTCAAGAAACCGGCCAAGCCCCATGAAACTCCAAATAGTATAAAAAAAAAGTCAAGATTTGCCTTAAAGATATAAATACGAGCCCAATTTATTTAGTAGCTGCCATTGCAACGATGTGCAGTAATAAACTAGTAATAGTAGTATAGCATGTGAGCCGAGCCGTGCAGCTGCAGCTGCATGCTTCTTCCTCCTTCGCTATATATGCAGCTGAGCTGCACACACGATGAGCAGTAGTAGTAGTAGTATAATTTGGTAGTAGTGAGCAAGTGAAACTGCAAGTGAGCTAAGGTGCAAGAAGAGAGAGGTGGAGATGGATTGGTACGCGTGGCTGGCGAAGACCGGGTTGGCGCCGGCGCTGGCGTACGAGTACGGCCGCCTCTTCAACCAGAACGAGCTGGAGCGCGGCGACGCCGCGCACTTCGACCACGACCTCCTCAAGAGCATGGGCATCGCCGTCGCCAAGCACCGCCTCGAGATCCTCAAGCTCGCCAAGAAGGACTCCTCCTCCGCCGCCGACGCAGGCGGTGGCGACTCCTCGTCGTCGTCGTACGCGCAGCTGATCGCGCGCAAGGCCGGGAGGTGCATCGCGCGGTGCGCGCGGCGGCTGGCGCGACCGCGGGGTGTCGGTGGAGGGAGGGGGTCGTCGGTGACCGTGGTGCCGAGGATATGCAGCGGCGACGACGCCGTCCGCGTGGGGGCAGTGCAGGCGGCGGCGACGAGGAGGAGGAGGAGCGTCAAGAAGATGGTGCTCATGATCACCGACGGCGGCGCCACCGCCGCGAGGGGCGGCGTCGGCTTCGCCGCCGGCCGGTTCTCGGGGTCGCAGAAGGCGAGCCTGATGTTCCACGACTGCTACGAGGAGGAGGACGACGACTACGACCACGAGGAGGAAGCGCGGTGCGGCGACGGAGCCGAGGGCGGCGACGAGGATGCCGAGGAGGAACGGTGCTCCGACGGCGGCGGCGGCGGCGGCACCGACGTCGAGATCAAGTGGGACTCCATGTTCCAGGACCTGAAGCCGACGTGATTGAGTTGAGGCAATTTGATTAATTCGCGAGTTTGTGTGTAGCTTTTTGTGAGAGAATTTTTACATCTCTCTTTGTGGTGCGAGAGCTTAATTAGGATGGTAATGTGTACGTGTCTATTTGCCATGAGTTTAGACGATAATAATATCGAGCGCAAATGTTTTGAGTGAGATTAATTGAAGGTCAAAGGAATTTAGTGTACGCGATTGATCGAATACCCACTGCATAACTATGAATTATTTTTTCAATTTTTTTTAGCACAAGGCAGGATCTCTGTCGATCAAGTAAAGTTAACAACTGATGAATTCTCTCTCGTTCCCGGCAATTGGCTGCAAGCCTGCAATGTGCTACATGCATGATTTATTACGTTACATATTCATGGCTGTTAACGTTTGTTCATCGCAAGATTATGCGAAAAGTAACCGCTGAATTACAAGGACTTGTCTAACAAACATTCGCATGATTTGTGTTCCTCATGAGCTTAAATAGAACTTCAGGATGACCGACAAAGGCATAAGCTTGTCCCCTCTTAACCAGTTAACATTGCACAGCAGACATCGTTAGTACTCCTATATAATGATGTCCGTCGATGTAAAGGCGCTATTATTTTAGACTAAAAAGGGAAAATGCCATGGCATGGACTTGGATGACACCAATCTGTTGGAAGAAAATAGTATAGCTCGAAATATAGCAGCAGTTGGGGGTACAATCGTTGGGTGACCACTGACCATTGCCTACTTGGTCAGGCTCTCTAGCCAGCGCATGTTCAAATGGCAGGCCAGTATCACTGGCAAAGCTACTGAAAATGACGGTTATGAATTATGATGCTGTCCAACAGAACGGCCAGTCACGTCAATGCTTGACAGAGAGAAGGGCCCCACGAGGGTACGAGGATATATCCAGCTTGGTAACAACAGACAGGCATAGACGGCACAGGATTCCCTTCAAAGAATGACATAAAACGGAGGTGAAATAGTTTGGACAAGTTCGATGAATTTCTCCAAAATATTCCCACTTCACACACGTCAACTCATATTGGTGTAGTAAAGACAATTAACTGAATGCTTTAACCGCTATTGGCACAATTAAATAATCGGTGTGTAGCCACATGAACACGGGTGTATCAGTATTCAGTACAGCATACACGAGTTTTCGATTAGACCATTCAATATGATAGTACCCCTTTCATTCTTTCATGGCAGATGAAACCACATACATTGCTTTGTGGGCACAAATAGAATAGGGCCCGGGGTAAAATGATTGCAGTAAAAAAAAAGATAAATCACTCAAAATTGGGATGCTTGAAAGAAAAATCAAGAACGAGTAGCCAGGTAGAAATCTCCTGTACTAAGAAAAACATGTTTTCCCAGCTGGAGATCAATTGGTGGGAAGCCTTCAATGAAATCCACCGTAATCTGTAAGAACAAAGGCAATTTAAGGCATGAAGAACAAGTATTCTGAAAAAAGTTCAGTAGAAGTTGTAGATTTACCTTGCCATTCCCAGCCTGGAATTCATTCTTCAATCTGGAAATAGACCTTGACAGTAAATATACTTTTAATGCATCAAAATGCTCACGGTTGCCTGTTCCATCAAAGTAGACACTTATGTTACCATGCAGAATATAACAAAGAGAATGCCAAGACATTAACAACGAAAATAGACAAGTACACCCTATCAGATAAGGTTGTATTTACCAGCGGCATGGACAAGGAGATCATCTGTGACCACTGGAGAAACCCTTGCAATGTAAATGACAAACGACATGTCTTGTACATTGTGAGACTCCTCACAGATCATTACCTGCCAAACCAGACAAATGACAATGAGATTAAATGTTTTATATCCATTTCAACTCGTGTCAACACCAATTGGTGGTGATGATAGTGCATATAACTTGGTGTTCATGTAAGAAAAATCAAATCCTCCAATTGATAGAGATAAAAGTCAGTTAACAGTAAACTGAAACAGGGAGAATATCCAAACTCACTGCATCTGGTGGCGCCGCCATCTTTGGAATTAGTGGATTGCCAAGAGCATCCCTTATATACTGATCCTGAACAGAATTACAGTAGCTTTCATTAAGGATGTTCTGATTTATGAAACAAGAACCAATTACTTATGCCAATTTAGCTGACCTGTGACTGCACAATCTCTACTAGAGTATTCTTGCCATCGTCCATAGGTTTGTAATATACATCAACTAAGTCTGTCGGCTCAAGTTGCGCTGTCTTTCGTAACTTCTGGATTCTGTTCACAACCTGGACAGAAATGCTCAAGAATTATTAGCCCAGATCATGAACATCAAACTTATGACTGACAACAGAGAAAACGTATGCAATCAAACAGCCGCTGGAAGTTCATAGCAACATGAAGTCAGACATGACATAGGTCAGGTAAAGATTACCAAATTCAGGCATCAACCAGTGCAAAAATACTACTAACACATAATTCTCAGTACTCCAGGGTGTCATACCCAGGAGTACACAAATCATATAGTTAATTACCTCTCGAGCAACTCCAGCTTCAAACAATGATTGATCAGCTCGAAGATCCAAAACGACTAACACATCACCTACATGAAAAAAAAAGTAATGATAATATGACAAAATAGACAGATAGCATACAAACTACTCATATGGAAACATATTTGACATACCATCTCCCGCAGCATCAATTTCATTCTCTGCCACATTTGCAGGACGTTTAAATTGCCGGATCACCTAGAGGGTAAAATGTTTCAGAGAATTAAAGATGCAGCAGGTTGGAAAAATAAGTCCACTAAATGCAAACCTGTGCAAACTAAAGTGTAGCATCATGTCATTCATCATGATGATCAGAAATAATGCCCCCAAAATAAAACAAATGTCAAATCTAATTTTTAGAATAGGTGTGCTTGCAAACCATTTGCTAGACAGATATGATCTGGAAATGCCAAAGCAGAACTTGGAAATGATGTGTTTGTATTTTACAATATATGTAAAAAGCAAATCAATATAATCTTACTAACATATCATTCTGAGAACATATACTAGCACAATTACCAAATATTAATCTTCAAAACTGACATGCAAGCAATCATTTAAACCTTTAAATTAACATCCATCAGAAGCATGGAATGTTACCTTAATATCGTCTAACTTCAAGCAATGACCAAAGAATGAAATTTCTCCACTTTGTTCAAAGGCTAAGATCTGTTCCTGTGTCATTTTCTTCACTTCATTTGACACTTTGCCCATGTCCTTTCCCAGTCTTTTTCCTAGCACACTAAGAAAATAACACAAGTGCTGAGCAGTAGATAAAAAAAAATGCAAAGTTTCTCACGCTATTAGGTACACATACCTAAAATTGGGTTCTGCCCGGAGAGAAGCATACAACATGGGATCATTACATGGAGTGACAGTCTTAACATTCATTTCTTCCATGACATACTGTATATTGGAAAGTAAAGTATGTCAAGACTCAACACTGAAGAAACATGTCCATTTATAAAATAAACACTAAGTGGCAAATATTGAAGATGAATTGATCAATCTCGTATTCTCATTGCTCAATAATCAAGATTATCAACTCCTAGAAATATGGGCAAGCAGATTCCTTGGCAAATATTGATCTCAGGAAGGGACATGCCAACAGTGAGAAAGCAATGAATATGGAACATAAAAGTGTACAGGAGACTTTGGTTACAACTAATTGCAAATGCAGTCATATAATTCCATAACAGATGACTTATAGGCACTGCTGACAAGTACTTATAAACAAACCTCTTTTAGCTTTCCCGTTATGTCTTCAAGAAATTCATTGTCAGGATGAACAATCACCATCTCCCTGAAACTCAGATTGGTTAAGCCATATGGCAAAATTGAAGATAATATACAGAACAAGCTTTTATATCATGAAGCAAAAGGAATACCAGAAACAACACATATAAAAATATAAAGACCATCTGGTTTTCAACTTCAACCATCTTAAAAACATAATTATTGAAAATAGCATACGTACTTTTACGCCCATATACACAAAAAGATGAAGAAAGAATGTAAAACCGAACTAAACACCTAAAACACTTCGATGTTATGACAACCAAAAAGATTCCTAAAATTTCATGGCCATCGATTATCATTTCATTACAACAAAATGTGTATCACATGTCAATATATTATACAACGTGAAATTTTCAATTTCCTAAACGAAATATCTCTAGATTAAATCATTAGGAAACAAATCATGAGACTATGAACATACTTCAGTGGTGTTTTCAAGGCTTTGTTATGCCGTTCACGAATATTGCGGGCAAGATCAATGATGGTCATCATTCTGTTTACACTTTGCTCAACACGCTCATCTCTCTGATCATGAAGCAAAAAAAATCAACATGAAGTCACAAGTAATACGGGTGGAATAAAGCATAGTACAGGTTTAGATAAGAATTACCTCCCCAGTTGTGGAAGGGAAACTGCAGAAATGAATACTATCCTCTGGTTTAGTTGACACCTTTCGTAGGTTTTGATAGAGAGTTTCAGTAAAGAAGGGTGTAAATGGAGCCATCGCCACACAAGTTGTTACAAGTGCCTGCATTCATGATTAACAAAATGTCTTTGTGAAATACTACAAAGTACCAGCAAAACATACAATCTAATTAGGATTTTTTTAATGCATAGAGTACCCCCAAAATATTACGTAATAGATGCTAAGGAGCAAGAAAAGATCATTTCAGGAGGAGTTGGGAACTTCTCCGCCCCGCGTGGATACCAAGGCGACGCATTAGCGCATGATTAATTAGGTATTAGCTAAAAAACTTGAAAATAGACTTATATGATTTTTTTAAAGCAACTTCCCTATAAAAAATATTTGAAAAAAACGCACCGTTTAACAGTTCGGGAATTGTGCACGTGAAAAAAAAGGGAGTAGAAGTTGGGAAAGGGTAGCGTCCAACTCAGCCTGAAGCTATTTCACTTATCAAAATTAAGAAAAAAAAAAGAGAAGTTTAATAGCAACAAGATTATCTGCCAACTGGATAAGCATTATACGTCCAGAAATAAAGGGGAGGTACATAAAAGATGATGAAGACTCCTTTTGGAGTTCTCAGAGGCAGGAAGACATGAAAATGTGAACATGAGATATTGAGATACATACAGCATTGATATTTTTATTCTCATCAATCCATAAAACAAACTTAAGTAGAAACAGTGCACTGCACAATATATACTTACATGG